ACAGGTTTTTGTTTAAGGAACTGGTAGACACTATGAGATGACAAAGTCAGGAGTAGGATAGTGTTGTAAATTAGTTACAAACACAAATTTATTCTGTCATAATGTTAAACATGAAATTTTTTCCAGAGTGGAGGAGCCTATAGACTTTCAATTGCCACAACAGGAATTTATCGCAATTAAAGTGCCCGAGTTGAGAGAACCGCAACAATTGAAGTTCAAAGAGAAGACTGTGGACTGTATAGATAAAGATCCACTTTTGGCACCGACCATCAAACAGGAGACAGGTGGGACAGGGGAGTTCAAGAAAAGAAAATTTAAGGGAAACGCACGGCAAAAGTTGGATACGGATTGATTTTTTTGTATCTTTGTAAATATTTTTTGTAATTAAATTAGTCTACTGATAAGAAGTATTTTCAGTACCATCATTGCTACCTGGAACTAACCATCTCAGCTTGACCCAGTCAGCCATTTCGAGGAACTCGTTGATTTGTTGAATCTAGATCATTGTCACTACGGTAGCTGGTTTCCCAGGTAGACCGTGTCACAATCTTAAAATTACTAGGCCTATTTGCGAATGTTAACATTTCTTTAAAGGTAGTGGCTAGATGTTTCCTATACAGTTGTGCTGTCAGTAAGCACAAAATATTCAGTTAGAGGTTTTTTGGTTCAAAATAAAACTAAAATCAAGAATACATTTTTTTTCCAAAAGCGCCTAGTTAGCGAGATATCTGCTATTGTGTTATTTTTGTTTTGTTTTAAATCCGTATCTAAAAACTAAGACATCTTCATAAAATAGGGTATATCTTTTTTTTCAAGTCCAAAACTATTAAAGAAAAAACTATCAAATAAAATTTTATTTGTTTGAAAATGGCGGCTATTTTATTTTGTATAACTTAAATTACTAAAAAATAGTTGATTTATGACAAAAATCCATGAACAATTTTGTTTAACAGTTAATACTCCCTAACAAACAACACCAAGTTTAAAAAAATTGAATAATATATAAATAAATAATAAATAAAAGCTGAGAAATTAAGATTTTTAGTCTACCGGTCAGGCAAAATAAGGCCAAGCGGTAGGAGTTTGCTTAATTTTGCACCTAAAAATTGGGATTTAACTCACAGGAGAGAGAAATTGTCCTTTTTCTTCCCTGTCTACAATAATGAATATTCATATTCATCTTACTTAAGTGCTATGGGTTGTTAAAAGAATGGTGATCTCCTCTAAACCCTCCGAGTGTCCATAGTTTAGGCCTTAATGTCCGCCTATTTTTGGCGCATTTGCAAGGTTTTATTAAAACGGATCTGAAAAGCTTAAGACAATGTTAATTCTACTGTTCTATATACCATTTTGTTTGGAAAATCATGGGCTTCAATTTCATACATAAAACCTAAGGAATATTTGTGTAAAAAAATTTTTTAGGTAAAAATAAAAATTATTTTGGAAAAATTGGAAAAAAAAATAAGTTCGCGCTCAATGAAATTGTATAAATTATAGGCCTATACATATTTGAAAATAGCCACTTTGTTCTAAATTTTATGAGGATTACAAATATATAATAATATAAGGAAGTAGATTTGCAAATAAATAAGTTACGGGCAAAAAACAGATTTCAGTATATAGCGTTTAGCTAAGAATGCATAGCCTAACCATAGCTAGGAATCTGGCTGATAATTTACATCAATATCACTACCTACTTCTTCAGGATCATTAACCAGCCCTTCAAAATCACTTAAATCTTCTTATAATGCACCACGTATATCACTACTTTTGATTTTTAACACTAAAACAATGATAAACATAATAAAACACATCAGTCATCGGTCCGAGGTTAACTAACCTGTTTACAAATACGCACGTCAGCTGTCTGCTACAATTACAATCGGCTTGGAGAACATAAAGCGCTTAGAGACAGACCTCTGGAGAAAGCTTAGAATCTAACGAAAAGAACGATACCTAACTCGATCCAGTTCAATCCGATTTTGTCAGTCATAGAGCCTTCGCCGTAAACAGTGTTCGTGAATCGCTGCAGCGACGCATGACACTACACAAAGTGTGTTACGCGTCGCTGCAGCGACACATGACACTCGGAGGGTTAACACTTCATTGTTATGTATATTTTATAACAAGAGTAGAAAGTCATTTCATATTTGAGACTATGTTTTAAATATTGTCGAGAATATGTAATGACCCACTTTCACTCGTGTTTTGAACATTACTCTTTGCTACACTACAAAGACTAATTATTTTTAAATTAGAAATAGACGTTGGAATATTTCTTTTTTCTAAGGTCATCTAACAAAGTGGGTCCTTCCTTGCACAGTATGTTCAAAAAGTCTGGCAACGCCTTAATATTCTTTTCATTAATGTGTTTTTCAACAATTAAATCGACCATTTGTGATATTTCCCCCCAATTGTGAAGTTATCTAAGTTAAAACGCTGTCATAATGAACACGGTTGAGTATTCACTGCTCAAACTTTAAGAGGCTGCTATTTCCAAACGAATCGTCCTTTTTTAGTCGGGTTTACGGAAATGTATTTCTTTAATGACCTTTAAAATGAGATATAATTCAACCTATTGAAGATTTTTGAGACTTCCTTCACAGGACTTCCCTCAAAGTGAATAAATACCGTTCAAACGACCAAAAGTCTGTAACTAAATTGAGGACAAATCTCTAGTGTTTCAATTGTTTTGCGTTAATTAATGGGAAAAATATTAAAGGCGTTTCCAGACTTTTTGAACACCTGGTATAACGACAACAGGTGATTTCATAGTTTTGGAACAAAAATCAACTTTCCACAGTTTTACAAAATTTTCTTTCCATGATTTGTTGATCACTTGTACGTGACAGTATAAAATAATAAACGTTATAACAATCAGACCCAATACTCTCTCCTAATAGCTTGTCAACAGCCTTTATCATGGTACCCCCTTACCCAGCAGTGCCATTTTGTAAAAAGTAGGCCTACAAAATGATTTTGTATAGAAGTTACTAGCTGGCCCGACAGACGTCGTCCTGTCCTAATGTGGTTTTATGTCAAATGCTCGTTCATTTTCAAGATGAGCTCGTTCGCATGGGTCAATCACGTCCTGGTTAGGTTGAAGTTTGTTCGCTACGTTCACTCACCATGGAGCTTGTTCGCTGCGCTCACTGCCTTCAAGTTAGCTCTTTCGCTACGCTAACTTGCCTCCAGGTTGAAGTTTGTTCGCTACGCTCACTCACCTTTTGGTTGCAAATTAGCTGTATAAATAAAAAAAAATAATAGTGCTGCACCCTGTTGGTAAACCTACTAACTTTTTAATGATATTGAACATCACAGAATCAAATTGTTTAGTTAAACCAGCTGTTAAGATTCTTTAATTCCATTTAAATATGAGTACTCATAAGGTTAACATGGGAAACTCCAGAGCCACTGGGGCGGAGGCCTTTTGACAGATCTGCACCAAACTTCACATAAACCATCCTTGAATAGTGCCTGAAAGTTTCATTACAATTTGTCAAGCGGTTTCGGAGTCCATAAAGGACAAACAAACATTGGATTTTATATATATAGATAGAGAGGTAACTATAGCACAGGAATAAGCCTGGAATCTGAAATATTGAATAGGCTAACTTAATTGATACTTACTTGATACTTGATGTCTTCGTCTTTGACCCAGCTTGTGGGATTGACTGTGTCAGAGTTAATCATGTTAGCCTACCTTAGCAGTAATCATGATTCAATTCAAATTTGGCAGAGAAACTTCTAAACTTCTTAGACGAGTTGGTTACCTATCTAGAAATGTTGCTTGAAAACTTTACTGCTTATTTTTAGCTTTACTAAAATAATAATTTTTTAATACCAGTGGAAGCTTAACTCCACTAGATTTTTAAACTTAAATTTTTGGTACTTTCCTGTTAAAGGGGACATACATTATGATTGATGATTTCTTTTTGATATATCAATATTTTTTTATTTGATAACTTGGTATTGATTTTAACAAATTGAAACTTAACATATGACAACTACGATAAATGAATAGGCCTATCTTTCAGTATCAACAAACAATAAAAAAATATACTGAAATGAAACTGTTCTAAACTAACCTATAACCAACCAAACTGGCTGAAACATTTCAAAATGCCTTTTCTGTTATCAAACGGAATTTTGAAACGGTAACTTAGCCTACAGCAAGTTTAGTTATGTTAGGTTAGTTTAGAATAGTTTCATTTACTTATCCAATATCTAGGCTATTATTTTTTCCTAAACTAGGTTAGTTCTTGATTTGTAATTTAAATGTGTTTGAAGATATTCAAACAGAAGGAATACCGATCGTGAAAAAAAATAATGATATTAAGTTATCGAAAAGAAATCATTGATAATAATGAATGTTCCTTTAACAGGAAAGTACCCTAAAATATTCCATATAAGTTACAATGCTAAAAATTTATCTCCTACCCACAATTACGTTTAACTCAATACGTAGCCTATTTTCAGAGTTGAGTGACCCTGAGTCGTAATTGTCACGTCTGATTATTTGGCTTTTTATGTAAAAGATTAAACCTGGTAACTTAACTGAACACTTGTTAAAACTACAATTTTTAAAATGGGCTTAAAAACTGTAGACAAATCAATTTTGGGTAAAATCAAATCGGCAGTCTACGCATGCATAGGCCTTGCTTTAAACAGCACTTTGTCATAACACATCTACTGTGTATGCCTAGGTTAACCAGTAATTTCAACCAGGTGTTTTAAACTACCGGTACCGGTAGTTAAAATCAATAAGTTTTAACCAGCAATTTAAATGTTGTACTTAAAATATTCACAATGTCAACATGATTTAAAAAAATGCAAATTATTATTTGTTCTATAAATTAAAGGGTTGTAGGCCTTTGCAATTGAGGCTGCTTAAAATTGTATCTATAAAGCTAATTAAGCTAATTCACCTTTTTACTTGATTTAAAGAATTAAAAACCATTCATTTTTAAAGGGTGAAGCAAAAACTCAGGAATGTACACGATATTCATCAGGTTTATTTAATGATTAAGCCAGTTGGTTAATTAAATTTCACATTAAAAACAGGGACCATTTTACACATCATATCATAAAATCAACATATACAGTATCTTACTGATTTAAGTTTCTTTTAAACGATAAAAATACAATAGCCTATAAAAACATCACAACACAAAACAATACATTACTTAGGTACATAACTTTAAATTGACTGATTAGCCTACCTTAAAAAAAAATAAAAATCTGGGTAAAATGTTTTAGGTTTTAAACGTTGATGTTGTTATAAAAACATTCAATCAACTTATTGGTTGATTTATGACACTTATTAAATATGCTACCGTACATTGCAATTGATTTCTTTTAAATAAAAAATAATATGTATCTACAAAAGAGCTTTACGGACATTTTCTGTCAATCTGACCTTTCCCAGCTTCTTCGTACTCTTGACTGCTGATCCACATCTGTTGAAATGACCCAATGGATGCCAATATTGAACCTCCAATCCAAGATCCGAACCTCCTCTCAGCAGATCCATTTGCCGAAATCAGTTTTAGTCTCATGCTGGAAGGAATACGCATTGACAAGTCTCTATTGAGTCGCTCTGGAAATCCCTGCATGAAAGAGTTCCCTCCAGTGACAACCACACTTCCGTATAGAGCAGGCCGAACATCAGGGTCACACATTCCGACACTTGTTGTGACAATATGACCAACACCAAGCATCGTATTGCCAACAACTCCTCCTCGAATTGGTGCGACACTCGGGTCAAACATAGCTTCAGGAATCCTGAATCGTTCAACACCAAATTCTTGATGATAGCCATGGGGAAACTCATAGTGAACTGCAGGCATGGATGCTACATTATTTTCATCGTAGGGTGCCTCAGACACTTGAAGAACACAGTTATGAAAATCTTGAATGACTTTTTTCATCATATAATTGTGCCAAGATGTTGTAACTTCAGGAAGGTTCTTTTTCTTCGTCCAGTTTGCTTTTTCTTTTTCATTTACAGGTTCTTTTCCGCCTATCATGTATGTTGGGACAACTTCAATGTTACTATCCTGAAGGTACTGTTTACACTGCATAGAAATGTAGTCTCCTCCAAGCGGTGACTTAACAATTGCTTGAGTTAGGACAAACCCGTCTTGTACAGGAACAGCAGAGGTATGTGTTGCACCACTGTCAACCACTAATCCAGTAGACCTTCCATTCGCAAATGCTGCTAAAACTGCATTTTTAACAAGGAAAAAAGCAGGAACATTGTACTTTTCAAACATTATTTCAGTCAACTTTTCTCTTTTGTTTCTGGGATTCCAAGGAGATTCAGACATAAGGACAGGGTGGTATTCTGATTCAGACTGAATGCATTTTGCATACGTATAATCAAGGACTTTTTCAAACAAGTCCCAATCATCAATAACCCCATCCTTCATATAACTAGTGACTTCCATGCCTTTCCTTGGAACATTCAAAACGGTGGTATCAACGTAATATTTGGTGTTGGATGTGATATTTGAATCAGCCTTTTTGTCCAGATCCATTCCCTCCGTGATTGTTGCTGCATTGCCATTTGCATCTTCACAAACACCTACCATTGCAGGAATCTCATATTTTGGTGAATCTTCTTGAGCATAACCTACTCGCAATGAATGATGTCCTATGTCAAACACTATTGCGCCGATTTCATCCCCTCCGTAAAGCATACCTCCTCCACTCATTTTTAGGATATTAAATGCAACAAAGATGGTACTATGAAAGTCTTGAAATCAGAAGAAAATAATGTAGGAGTTTATACCAACTAGGCCTATGAGCCTTGTCCACTTACATAAAGTTACATAAAGCAGCCGGTAGAAATGTCAACAAAAACATAATTCTTAGTAAGCCTTCAAGATTAAATTGTACATTTAGGCTATATAAACACGAATAGAAATATTAAACACTTTTCAGTCAAAACATTTGTCACAACACGACACAATAGATAACTATGTAAACTGACAGGACAGACGCCGACGCCGTATTTCTTTTCAGAACCAGACGCTTAGAGGTTAGGCGTTGCGTTATGCAGTGTTGCCACCCTGCACTAGCGTCTCATTTTCCTCTTTTTAGAAACTGATGAGAACCTTTTCTGCGAAAGAGTGGGGGATTGTGGGAGAGCCCCTCACGTCGATTTAAGAAAATCTTTAAATTTATTTTATAATATTTTAGATAGAAAATTAACATTTTAACTATAAAATTAATTTTAAAATTTTTAATTATAAAATTAAACTGTCATAACCTAACCTAACCAACCAAACTTGCTGATAATATAAAAAATATGTAAAATAAAAATCGAATGAAGGTTTACTTATAATTAATTTTTAATTATGAAATTAATTTTTAAATTTGTACTTGTAAAATTAAACTGCCATAACCTAACCGAACCAACTAAACTTGCTGATAGTATAAAAAAATATATAAGTTAGAGTTAAAATCTAATTCAGGTTTACTAATTTAAAAAAATAGTTCTGTTCATAAATAAAATTATAAATGTCTCAAATTCTAACAAAAGATGTACAGTTAAGAAGTATTCGCAATCTAAGCAAAACCTTGGACAAAAAGATAGTGTCACCGGCGGGATTCAAACTGGGGACCTCCAGATCACGAGTCCAAGACGCTTTCAACAAAGAAAGTTCTATTTTCTTTGCTTTCAACAACGCCACGAACACCGATGGAATCATATTATCGTCTCGTTACGGTAATAAATGGTGTTCCCTAAAGAGCAGAGTGACGTCACACCCCCCACTCCTTCTCTAAAGAGGTTCTCATCAGTTTCTAAAAAGGGGAAACCGAGACGCTATAGCCACCCTGCCGGTGTTGCTGTCATTTCAATTCCTAGGCCGTAAAACCTTTGAGCACAGACAATGGAATAAACCATTAAAGTACTTTAATACTTTAAACAATAAAGTATTATATTGTCTGTGCTTTGAGACTAACCACGGCCACCTCCTTAAGAAAACAATACTTAAAGTTGCTTTTAAAAAACACTTTAGATATTCAACTGACGACCTTTTTGTAGAAACGGGAGTTTTGACAGTCAGACAGTTATTTTTAAAATTTATTTTAGTTCACATGTACAAAAACTTTGATAATATTTTTATAAAAATTACTCATCCCCACAATACGCGCTTTTCTCGAAATGTTGGTATAAATGTTCCACAAACTTTAAAATCATTTTCACATACGAATTGCTTTCACTTAACCCAAATCATTTATCGTAACATGTGTAACAGATATCAAAATGTCAACATTTTAAATTCACCCTCTCTCTCTCTATTTAAGAAGCATGTAGTAGCGTGGCTTGTAGGATTGAGTGCAGAGGACACCGAGGCCGTTATCGCGTTGGGTGGACCTGACCGTTGACCCTACACAATCACTGATACAACACCTTCACTGACTGACCAACACACCACACTCCACCTCTCCTCTCCAATCTTCACCAGATTTTTATAAAGAGTTTTTTATCGTCAATTTAATTCACAGAAGAAAACTAAACATTCAGTTTCAAGCAAGAAAATTTTTTAAAATTTAGAATTATACGAATTATTTTTTGTTTTCCTATACATTTTTCTACCTCCCATCTAAATTAACCTTTTTCGCAACTCGAGTCTACGCACAGGCCCTGCCTATGTAGACTTTTTCCTTTGTTATAGAAGGTATTTTTTTTGCACATTTTTCGTTTTATTTCTACAGAATATAATTTTTCTTTTGTTATCCAGTTAGTAATGTTTGCTGTATTATATTTAAGTAAAAAAAATACAATGTAATTATATGTATATAATTTCTGGGAAATAAAATATTATTTCATTTCATTTCATTTCATTTCATTTCATTTCTCTAACTACAGGCCGCGGCCTGGTAGAATTGGCAACATCGCAAGTGGTGAAGTTTAGTGACAGACGTCCCATAAGATAACATGGCAGACAGGGGCCCATTTCATAATAATTAAACTACAAGTTACAAGTTACAACTTGTAACTTGTAATTTCCATAAGATTTGCATTGGGCGATCAGCTGATTTACTAATAATATTAGTTTGTACTTTATTATGAAATGGGCCCCTCAGTTTGCTTCAACAAAAGAACAGAACAGGTTTGCAGTTTGCATCAAGTTTGCTTTGTGTTTTCCACTGATTAGATCTAAGCCTCAGAATAACAAGAACACACTTAAACATAGTTGGTTTGATGATAATTTATTCAGGCTCAAGGAACAACTTCATCTTAAATACCTTAACCTTAAGTCTAGTAATAATTGTCCTACCCTTAAGTTGGAATATCAAAATTCTAAGAAGTTTTTTATAGAAAAGCAATCAGCCATGGCCGCCATTAACCCCAAGAACCCCTGGTAGAATTGGCAACGTCGCAAGTGGTGTGTCTAGCGCCAGACGTCCCATAAGATAACATGGCAGACAGGTGACACCAGCTCATTATTTCGCGTATTACTCATTTAAATTAAAATGTTTGAACATAAATTTATTGAAAGATTGAAAATAAAAGATATAGAATTGAAAACAAAAACAATATTTAAATAGAAAATCAATTTTTGTACTTTTAAAGTGGAGTCAATATTGTCATAGTCCATTTACCAAGCTTTTCGTAAATACACAAATACTATTAGCTGCTGCCAAACTAAACAGCTGTTACAACACCACTTTGTGGCGTTGCCAATTCGAAGGCCGCTGCCTGCATCAGCTCATTAGTTCGAACTTTATTGATTTAAATTTAAATTTATGAAAATAAAACATACAGAATTGAAAACCGAAAGAAGAAATAGTATATTTCGTACCTAGGGCCGAAAATGAGGTTTTGCCGGCTCGAGATAGTTTTTAAGTTCGAGACGAAGTCGAGAACTTAAATCGATCGAGAGCTGCAAAACCATTTCGGCCCGTGGTACGAACGCTATTTTTCACCACACTATACCACTATACCCTATTACACCACTATAATAATGCACACTGATAGTCAACACAACTACAACTTTAAGGTTATGTAAAGAAATAATTTGAGGAATCAGCAAAAATAAAAATAAATAGTTGCTAGGCAACGGCGACAATAACACAATTCTTTTGCAATGCTATGGATTTTGATTGTGTATTTAAAATGCATTCATGTTTTAAGAAAGTAAGCTGACAGCTGATTTTGCGGCCCCGGCCTGTAAAAACCTGCTCGGTCCCCAAATTATGGACAGCTGGCATCGCCAGCAAAACGTAACTTTCAGCCACCAATTAACGTATGTAATACAGCCAAAAACATCATAGTGTGGTGAAAAATATATATCTGTACATTTAAGCGGAGTCAATATTGACATAGTCCAGTAACCAAGCTTTCGTAAATCACAAATACCATTAGCTGCTTATAAAAAAAAAACAGCTGTTACAAAACCAGACTTACGAAGTTGCCACTTCGAAGGCCGTGGCCTGGAGTTAAAGGCGGCGTGGGTAATGGTGTTCCCGTTCCGCCGTTCCCACAAGAGAAGGGAGTGACGTCAAGCCATGGCAGCCAATAGAATGTTCTCATTTCGTCTGTATCGAAATCCCGCAGCTGAAATAAAAATGGCAGAGGCTATTCGGACCTCAGACGTGTGCCACTACCGCGCACGTCTGTTCCAAATGGCGCCATATTACGTTCCTAATCCAGTTACTTTTATAACTGTTTAGGAACAGGTTGCACACAAAGAAAACCTAGTATTGGGAACGGTAGTGGCAGTAGGCAGTGGCAGTGTACCTCTTAACCTTAGCCGCCGAAATGGATGGAATAAACTTCACGTTTTCAGCCCGCAACTTAAATACTGATTATGAAATGAGACTGTTCTAAACGTGATATTGATTGTCTGTATATCCATGACGTTATACCTTAATACCTTATTATAAAATTAAGAAAAATTATAAAATTATTTTTTTTATTTTATGTAAAACTAATCTGTCATAACCTAACCAGACTTGCTGATAATGAACAAATGGAACGAAGGTTTACTAATTGAAAAAAATAGTTATGTTCATAAATTACAATTTTAAATGCCCCAAATTCAATTTTATAATTATAAAATTAAACTGGCATAACCTTACCAAACCAACTAAACTTGCTGATAATGATAACATCTAAAAATGGTTTACTAATCAAAAAATAATAGTTCTGTTCAGTTCATAAAATAAAATTATAGATGCCTCAAATCCTAACAAAAGATGTAATCACACTCTAATCTAAATCTTAGATAAAAAGTTAATGCCTCTGGTAGGATTCGATCCGGCAACCTTCAGTTCATCAGCCCGATACGCTATCCATTACAGCACCGAGGCCGTTAGAAGTTCTAGGTGAACAGCTCTGTACACACTACATGTAAAGATGCATACCCATGCTTTGCAAGTCTTTTTCTCATTCTTCAAGAATAACGGACCTGCAAGGTCAACTCCAGTTATTTCAAAAACTTTAGCATTTCTTACACGATCTAAAGGCAATGGTGTAGGTACAGACTGCACTTTTTTTTATGAGTGTCGTTTGCAAGTAAGACAAGTTTTCAAAACATTTTTAACACTTCTCCATCCTAATACCAAACATCGTTTTCTCACAAGAGTGAAAAGTTCAAAGGCAAAGGAAAAACATTTGTAAAATATAACATTTATTTACAAAAGCTGCTTTTACACTATTTAGTCTGTAGCCTTTGTATCTCATCGACAATCTGCTCGTAAAAACGGAGTAACTCCTTGTGTCTTGTGGCCAAATCCTCCGGCAGTTCTCCTGTAACCAAGTCTGTTTGTTCCTTCTGTCAAAGAAGAAGAAAAATAACAATAACGTTTTACAAACCTAAGAAGGAAAAAATATGACCTTTATCAGTTTTTGCTCAGTGATATAGACATATGATGAAATAGTTATTTGTGTAACTAGTGAGCAAAGTGGCACTTTGCTGCACACGAGAGCAACGTTTACGCACTCGCCTGCGGCTCGTGCGGAATGATCTCAGGTGCAGCAAAGGCCTTTTGCACTCGTGTTACACATTATATTTTTCTTACAGTCACTATAAAGCGTATAAATAATTAGTCTTTCAAACACTATACAACATGTTTTTAGGTTCAGCTAGCAACACAAATAGGTGCCCTAGAGAAAGTAGTCCCCGGTCCATATCACTCCGCTATTTTTTCATCGGCAAGCAATGTGCTCCGCGACTTGAGAAAATGGTTCCGTATATTTTTGTGATAATTCAAAGTGGTTTGCGTGCCTAAAAAAATGCTTTAAAGGTATTTTCTTGTTTATTAAGATCGTAGGAATGTTTTAAAAACGTTTAAAAGAAAAGTCCAGAAAGTTCAGAAATACCGAAACTATAAACACAAAATGACAGGTTAAATCGTAGTTATAACTAGCTGCTGTACCCGTGCTTTGCAACGGGCAGAGGACACAAAATAGAAACATTTTAATCTACATATGTTGCATATAATAGTTACACATCCACCAAAGCTTTTAGAAACAAAATTCAACTCTTATGGCCTTAATAGAAATGTTTAAGTTATGCCTTTTAAATCTGGTAAGTAGTGGATACCACCATTTCATCTCCCTTAATTACAATCTTTTTATTTATTACTGTATTGACATTTTACACTTCAATTTTGAAGTTTATACTAATTATTCAATTTAAATGATTTTTTTTTTAATTTCACTCTTCTTAAATCACAAATCCTTCCATCTCCAGTTTCTTCACTCACAATAAATCATTAGCAGAACTAAGTGAGCTGTTATAAACTTTAGAAATATTGCTGTCCCTTATCAATCTTTTGAAATATTAAAGAATCTATAACTATAGGTTCTATAAAAACTTTTAAACAAATAATTTAGCATTAAAAACAGCAGACAAAACTAATATTATCAAAGCATTAAGGACTAAATAATTTAACAGCAAATACAGTATATGTTTCATTGCATCTCTGATTCTACTCTACAAAAATATCAACAAACAACTTTATTCATTGTTCTTGAATTATTGTGGACGGACTCATCAATTTTGATGTTTATTTGTTTTCACGTCCAGTGCCTTTGGATGACTGAAATCTGTCATCGCATGCTGATTGGTTCCTGGAATCTGGAACCCAATTTCAGCTGTCTCTAGTAGACATTTCTGAATTTCGATATGACTAATCAAAGTCATTTTAAACTTAATTGAGGTATAATTAATAAATATACATAGTCTCTGTGAAAATTTTGAAAAGTAGGGCACTCTTGACATTGTGGATTGCTAAATTCTTCCACTGTCACACAGAGTTTGTAAAAGCGAGTCGAACGCTCGTACTGCCCAGTGAATGCTGGAATCTCGTAATGAACACGTTCCACGCAAATCACATTTACTGTTGTCTCATGGTGGTCTTCGGACCTATCCATGACTGAAGAGACTAAAATAAAGTCGAAACAACAGAGCACACTTCTAATCCTGAAAGATGGATTAGTCGTATTGGACATAGCGCAGGCTCAATCAAATTTCGAATCTACAAACCACACACGAACATGGATCGTACACACCCGAGACGGTACGTGTGACAATCTCAATGCTCGGAGAGGTTGAGATTTTGGTTTTGTAATTTGAAAGAACATTCAAAAGAATGTAATTGAAAATTGGCAAGGGATTCGTCCCATTTACCTTCAAAAAGATTAACCTGTAATGAAGCGCTTGTCTTATCCCCTCACAATAACGCGTAACCGGGTTTTAGACGTAGGGCAGATGCTGATCTTAATTGCAGCTATCAACCACGAAAGCTATATGCTGTGGGAACCCTCACGATCGCCGGATAGGCAGATGCCGCCCACACGAATTGTGTAGAAGAGCCTAAACGTGCTACTGTTTGATGATATCAGTGATTCTAAATTGCAGTCTGATTGAGAAGACTGACCAGCTCCGCTGGATTTGCAACTACATCACCTGTCACAATCACTTTAACCAATTAATAATTTTGAGTGACTTGTAACATTAGGTGCAAGTGTTTGGCTTCGCAACCATCTAAAATTCTAAATTAATTTTGCAGGTTAGATGTATTGGTCACGAAACTCGTTCTTGGGGTTATACGTGCGAAAAGACGCCCTAGTGGCGGAATCACTCTTGCAACGTAAAAGGTGCGATTATACGCATAACGATATCATCTGTTTCGGTCTCAGGGCTAGATAGCCCATACCTCATCAGGTGCACACTTTAGTGCACGACAGATTGAATTATAATATGTTGAGGACGGATTAAATTTTTCATCGTCCAACTGAAATTTTGAATTTTGATGTTTCTAAATTTTGAAAAGATGAAATTGTCAACTTAGAGTTGACCAGGCACACCTGAGTATTTACTCATTGTTCTTGAATTATTGTGGACGGACTCATCAATTTTGATGTTTATTTGTTTTCACGTCCAGTGCCTTTGGATGACTGAAATCTGTCATCGCATGCTGATTGGTTCCTGGAATCTGGAACCCAATTTCAGCTGTCTCTAGTAGACATTTCTGAATTTCGATATGACTAATCAAAGTCATTTTAAACTTAATTGAGGTATAATTAATAAATATACATAGTCTCTGTGAAAATTTTGAAAAGTAGGGCACTCTTGACATTGTGGATTGCTAAATTCTTCCACTGTCACACAGAGTTTGTAAAAGCGAGTCGAACGCTCGTACTGCCCAGTGAATGCTGGAATCTCGTAATGAACACGTTCCACGCAAATCACATTTACTGTTGTCTCATGGTGGTCTTCGGACCTATCCATGACTGAAGAGACTAAAATAAAGTCGAAACAACAGAGCACACTTCTAATCCTGAAAGATGGATTAGTCGTATTGGACATAGCGCAGGCTCAATCAAATTTCGAATCTACAAACCACACACGAACATGGATCGTACACACCCGAGACGGTACGTGTGACAATCTCAATGCTCGGAGAGGTTGAGATTTTGGTTTTGTAATTTGAAAGAACATTCAAAAGAATGTAATTGAAAATTGGCAAGGGATTCGTCCCATTTACCTTCAAAAAGATTAACCTGTAATGAAGCGCTTGTCTTATCCCCTCACAATAACGCGTAACCGGGTTTTAGACGTAGGGCAGATGCTGATCTTAATTGCAGCTATCAACCACGAAAGCTATATGCTGTGGGAACCCTCACGATCGCCGGATAGGCAGATGCCGCCCACACGAATTGTGTAGAAGAGCCTAAACGTGCTACTGTTTGATGATATCAGTGATTCTAAATTGCAGTCTGATTGAGAAGACTGACCAGCTCCGCTGGATTTGCAACTACATCACCTGTCACAATCACTTTAACCAATTAATAATTTTGAGTGACTTGTAACATTAGGTGCAAGTGTTTGGCTTCGCAACCATCTAAAATTCTATTAGAACTACAACTTTATATAGAAACCAGTTCTTTTAATCAGTTCCATCGTCCATTGCCTTTACATTTTCACACTTACCATTAAGTTAACATAGTAACAGATATTTCATTGATTTTAGAAACAAAAGATCACTGTGTACTGCTTAGTTTTATGATATTTTCCTTGGTTTAATTTAATCAGTGGTGTGGCAAAACACAAATAATAAATTTATCAAATAAAGTAAATGTAAACTGAAAGCTATGTTAAGATAAAATAAGAGTATTTTGTATTACCATTTGATAATTAAATATACTACACATATACAACAGATTTTAAAAAACAAAAATCAACGACTTACAATTTAGTTATTGATGATATTCTTTAGTTTAATTTAAGCATAGGTTTAGCAACACAACAACTTAATTTACCTAAATATACATATAAAAAATAATGTGATGTGCAAGTTATGTTAAGTTAAGCTAACACATGTTAAGCATTTAGAATTTACTAGCTGTGTACCCGTTCTACGCACGGGGATCTTATAATATTCAGTTGAAACCTTCTTATATAAAGAACAGCAGTTGGTTTGCATATTTTAAGATATGCTGGCCAAACTATTATACATAGCTTCATTTTATGTTGTTTTCTGTTGTTCCGGATCGGTATGACAATCAATAAAAGGTTAAATTACCTCTGTGTCTGCCGGTCGATCCTATAACGGTAGGCTTACTTTTATTTTTACTATCTGATCTCGTTTGCATGGCTCAATCACGTCCTGGTTGAAGTTCGTTCGCTACGCTCACTCACCTGTATGTTGGAGCTCGTTCGCTGCGCTCACTTTCCTTCAGGTTAGCTCGTTCGCTACGCTCACTTGCCTTCAGGTTAGCTCGTTCGCTACGCTCACTCGCCTCCAGGTTGCAAATTAGCTGTTGTCATAAATGTAAAAGAAATAATAGTGCTAGTGCTGCACCCTGTTGGTAATCCTTGTAACTTTAATGCTATTGAACATCACAGAACAGAACCAACTTGTTTAATTGAAACAGCTGTTAAGATTCAATAATTTCATTTCTCATAAGGTTAACATGGGCTTCCAGAAATTCCACGTCAAAAATCGACAAAAACTTGATTTTCAAGGGTTTACTGTTAAATATCTAACTGTCTCATATTCGATGAAATACGTCTAAAACCATCTCATATATGTATAGTATTTGGAAAATAAGTTTCAGGCGGGACAGTGCTATAGTTATTGAGGAGTAGTTGTAATAAAGTGCGTATTTTAGCGTTACCAAGAGAATGACAGATAGACAGACAGACAGACAGACAGACAGACAGACAGAAATTGAGATAAGGTTTGATTCGGTTTCTCTGACCTATGAAATGTAAAAATAACCAAAAAGTTCATTATTCTAAGCAATGTACAGACAAAACTCTAATTTTATTTATATAGATAGTCAATCAGCTGCTCATAGTATTATTATCTTTAAGTGTTGCCAACCTATTTCCAAGCGTACACGGATTACGTGCATAATAGAACCACGCTGTTTTGTGTTGTTTCGTTGGAATCCTGATGTGCGCCAAAGTATAAACCGAACGACAAAGCATAAATATGCAGCAATTAGCAGCTTTCTGTACTATAAACAGTACAAGGAAGCCAACTTTGTCGCGTGACTGTAGGAAAAAATAATTGTTTAGTTAATATTTCTACTATGGTAGTTATTAGTAACTAGCTGTTACCCACGTGCTTCACCCTGTTTGACTTCATAAGTATAAATAACACTATTGATTGGTTAAGTTAATCTGAAATAAACAAATTAGAATACAGTTATACAAAGAAATAATCACACCTGATTTTAATAAGGTACCTAATACATTGAAAGAATAACATAAAAATAAGTACAGCTGAGGTATTTTTAACATTAGGTATATGGAAACAGTGGCAGATCTAGAACAGTCACAAGGGGGAGGAGGCAAACCAGGGGGTCTGGGTGGTCGGGGGTACCCCCCTGAAAAATTTGTGTAAACTAAGTCTCCAAAATGGCAGTTTTATACCATTTCTTTGTACAAAGTTAGTGTGACTGACATGTGACAATCGCCCCCTTCGCCCCCCTCTGGATCCGCCACTGTATGGAAAGTTCCCTTTGGAAAGCAATTACGACCTTAATGGCAATTGATGAAATGATGGATAGTTTTGAGTTAGGTTTCTCGTCATGACAAACATCTGAAGTATACGGTTCATGGGGGTGTGACTTGTAGTTTTCTCATAAGTTCATGGGTACTTTGGGCTTTATATATGGGTTTATATCTTTGTTTATGATTATTTCTAATTACAAATTGAATGGGAATGAACTACGGTCTTCAGCAAAATATTAAATATACGTCTAGTACAGCTTGAGTATGGCCCCATTTTTGTGCTAAAACTATACGCTGAGTGTTATCCATGGATTAACTTAAGCATGTATTTACTTTACACCACATTCAATTATCATCCACCGGTATTGAAAATTCAAACAATCGAGACTATTAATCAAAGATACCTTTGAATAATTTATTTACTTTTGAAGGGATTTCTGAAATAGGAATCAAATTTCTGGACTAAATACAGCATCACTAAGTCATGGTGACGGTGACAGTAAGAACTCTTTCTTAACACATAACACATAAGAGGTTAGAGATGTAACATACAGCAAAAAGGCCTGTTTCAAGGATTTTGTCAGAATAGCCAGCTCACCTAAAATATGATAGAGTACACACTAGCAGAAGAAATGCATAAGTTGTATAATATATATATACTAGAATTGTAATATCTAATGTGTATCTATTAAGTGTTGGGCTCTTCCCCATTCAGATAATCATGCTGAACAAAAACTCTTAAAAAAAACATGAAAATTGTTCAGAAAGTAGTTTAAAAGCAATCCTATGATTGATTAATTTTATATCAGCCTTGACACCTTTAATATTTTTTACTATAGGTAAGATTTACTTACTTTTGCCTGAAGGTGTCAAATGTTAACGTATGCTGTACATGTTTCGAGCTACTTACAGCTCATCTTCAGCAGCGTTCTTGAATTTAAAAAATCATATCAAACGATGTTTGTCGACTATTTACAGTTTATATATACACACACGATTACACGGAAATATATACAAAGAATACACACGCTTTTTGCAGTTGTAGGTACCGTAACATGTTTGCGTACGCACGGTTAAATAAAGATAACCTCGACCGGGCGACATTTGTAGGCCTACTGAGGAACTTGAGTACGGGAGAGTGACGTCACGGTATCAGCTGACTGGCGGTTCTTATTTCTAGTTTTGTTATCTACATCACAAAACAGCTGATAGGTGATCGTTTGATGTGATTTTTTAAATTCAAGAAAGTAAAAAATAAGTAAGTCAAAAAGTTCAAAAGTAAGTAAATCTTACCTATAGTAAAAAATCCTATGATTGTTTTATCATAGGATTAAGAAATGTGACAAACCTCAATCTTTGAGAGAACGCTTTTTAAAGGCAGTTTGGCAGAAGAAAGCATCTGAACTTTCTCATTAGATGAGTTGCACTGGTTACTGCACTGCATGTAAGCTGTAACAAGTCACAAATTTATTTCATTTTGTCTGTAAACTGAACAATATTACACTATCAGTTCTAGTGGACCAAATGATTAAGAAACAAATCAGCATAGTGATATATCAGAGGTACATAATTTACAAATAATCCATAAAGCTTACATCTGAGCTGTTTTCTGGTTATGTTAATCAATCATCTAATCACCAAACCTGACCAACAAGGACCCCCTACTGTACTGTCTACTGTTTGGGGGACATCATCTTATACTGTACGAATTTTGATTAGATGTAATATACTGCACTAACAATAACATTAAACAAACACAAAGCACAAGCAAGGTAGTTCTCGGTCCAGAAAAGGTCAGGTAGAGCTTTGAGGTTTTTTTTTTTAGATATTCTTGCTTGGATGGTTAAGTGAATCTGTCTATGTTGATTTTGTTGACCAATATATAATCTTTTGGGAAAATATTTAAACATAACTAACATAAGGTAATCAAATACCTTTGGCAAGATCCACACACAGTGCGATGACCTTCTGACATGATGTTACGTCTCTTTCCCAAGAGCCCTGGGTTGCAGCTCTGTATGCCTTCTGTAGACACTGAGCAACCTACAACAAACGATTTGTTGAAAATTGGAGACGTATAAAAAAGTTACACAGAGTGTGTTAGTGTTAAATGAGGGTTGCCTACAAATCAATGTCTTCAATGAACTCTCTTCGTAAAGGAGAAAACTAGTTTAAATTACTTCACCACTGGTGATTTACACCTTTTCGACCCCAACTCAGTTTTGTCAAAATAACAACTATCGCAAACGGAAGGAAAAGTCTGCCCCAAAAGTGGATTTTAAAAGAGATTGGTGGCATTTTTCAGCCTGGCATTTCTCTGTCTACATAGGCTTCAAATTCCTGTCAGTGGAGTGTCCCAAGCAAAGTAAGGAGTGAGTCGGGACAGTATGAGAATGGACTGTACTGAAAAGTTATTAGGGGCGGCACCAGAATAGGAGCTCAGACATCACTGTCTTCGTTTACAGTTAGCGCTATAGCCACCCAGGTAAACTGTGTTTTGCGATTAAATTTCTATAGTCGAGGAGTTGTAGATGTTTTTGCCAAAACTGTATGGATAAATGGTGTTGAGAGTTTGCAGACTGGTTCTATCTTGTCATAAAACGTCACATGGGTGCGGACAGGCCAGATAGTTTTGGTAAAAGTTATAAAACAAAATGTTGTCAGATTTACATAGCTCGCTCTGTTGATCATACAATGTTTGTTTGGGAATTCACAATTACTTATAACTCTGCACACTTACTAACCTTTACTCTTGATTCTGTCGTGGATTCACCACAAGCAACCAACTGAGCATAAAGTTGCCAAATTGTAGAGTTGTTCATAACCTGTACAAACAAAATAACTGGTGCATAACAATTAGTGAGAAGAAACAGCTGGTCGAAGTCAGTAAAAAAGCTACACAAGGCTATTATTGCTGTTTGAATGTGCAGATCAATAACATAAATGAGATGCCTGTTGTGTCAATGAAATTTGAATAACTTGCCTCTCATAAAGAATTGTTGACCATACTGCTTGTTTCTATTTTTCTTATTTTTTCTAGCCAGCCAACATAGTCGAAAATATATAAGTTTTCAACTTCAAAGAATGAAATAATTTCAATAAAGTAAACTTTTGTATTATTCAAGCTCACGTATTTCAAGTCGGCGTGGCTCTATAATGATTTTTGATACAACATTTAAAGAGGATGTCTACATTGCAGGAGACTATCTATAACTAAAGGTGTTAATCTGCATGTCTTTTTCATAGTTATGCGTTGGGTGTTATTTTATTACTGTAACCAAAGATCGGTAGATACCATCATAACTTTTTTGAAATAAGATAATAAATTATAATCTTATAGTGGTATTAATGAGTATCTAAAATTGTGATTGGCAATTGCTCAAAAACTATTCATCCTATAAAATACCCCCGCCGCAGCAAACCTGCAGACTAAGCGAATCTCCATTTGCCTGATTGGATTTACACTAAAATGTCTACTTATAAAAATATAAAATTTATTTCCTATATAAATAGATTAGTTTAACAAGAACTTAGATTTGCTGTATCAGGGAGGGCAAAACTGTTTGTTTTTTTTTTTTGTAAAATGTTAATAGTTAGTAAGAAATAAAAACATTTTCCAAATTTGATCAAAATATGTTCATAAACAAGCAAACAGTTTACTTGTTCTCCATAAGAATAACATGGGAATTTAAAATTTACATTTTTTTGGAATTTTCTCCGTAACCATTAGGCGCATAATAACACTTCAATATACTAAATTATTTGTTTTTTTAAGCTCTACAAAATGGTTTGGAAAGAAATTGCAAAATTGTATGTTTTTTGGGTCAAAAATGGGAAAAACCTATTTTTACCCCATAAAACCCCCCGTACACCCCCATTGCCATAGTCCGATCATGCTGGTTCGCGAACTCGTTCAAGTTTATCCCGCCTTACACCTTCAAACCAAATTTTATCAAAATCGGACAAAAATTACTCAAGTTATCGTGCGGATGGACACATATATATATATATATATATATCTCTATATATAGATATATAAAAATTTGAACGAATGGTGTTTTTGGCCTCTGGGGACATCAAAATGAAAAAGTAAATCAGTCCCAGGCCTAGGTCTTACCATGAGACCTACGGTAATAGCTACTTCCCTATAGGGAAATTCGCTAAAAACATTAAATGTAAAAAAATGTTTGTTAAAGAAAGAGCTACATCTTTTGTTTTAAGACTTAACACTTTTTTAATGGCAATTAATGTTTTTTTACAAATTTTCAAAATTGATTTTCTAAGTATTGCATTTTATGGCTAAACGGTTAATTATATCAAAATATTCTTAGTACAAAAGTTGTAGCTCTTTCTTTGGCAAACATTTTTTACATTTAATCTAGATGATAAGCTTCCACGGTCACTGCAGATTGTCAAAACTAGGTCTTCGGGTGTTGACCGCGTCGTTGAAATAGTTAAACTAGAGGCCTCTAGTTTAACTATTTCAACGACGCGGTCAACACCCGAAGACCTTGTTTTGAGATTTTTTACATTTAATGTTTTTTTATAGGATGAATAGTTTTTGATTAATCAGTGAAAAACTGGTTTTTGGATGCCATTTTCCAAGATGGCGGCCATAGCACAAGTTTCTTTTTCGAGGACTTTTAGTATGTTATTCCGGAAGTAAAACTCAATATACGTACCAAGTTTTACACTTACAAGAGTTTTTTTAGGTAATGGAGAAATTTTGTTTTAAAATGACTATTAGTCAGGTACTGAAGAATCAGAAGGGGGCCTAGTTCACGAGCGGTTTGATGTTTGAAACTTGACCGAGCTGTCTTTAATAATTGGGCTTAAATAAAAAGGTCCTAGCTAATTGAACAGCTGGTCTTAGTAATGTACTACTGTAAGTTGAACACTAAGTTGGCAAGGGTCGACTTAAATGGAGCCAAATTATGATTTTTGAGTTGTCTAACACAAAGTTACTCTATTTGAAGTAACGCTAACAGTTTACATTATCAGCACCTACTTGAGCGGTAAGACGGCCGTAAAGCGTAAGAGCCTGTTTCCTGAGTTTACTTGCAGACTCGTTGTCTCCCGTTTGTTGTTCTACCAACACGTTTGTCAGAATCTTCAGTACATCTTCGTCCACATGTTTCTCATTGAGATCCAAGATACGGTGATAACAGTGGATAACCTGCAATAAACACATTTTAAGGGAAAGCCACGTCGCTGATGGAAAAGTATTTGAGAACGGGTTGGAGTTAAGGTAGCTTACGTGAGACTACTTTAAAATACTCTCTGAGAAGTCTTATGCTGCACGAAAATAATGGTGTCATGCAAGTAACCAATTTTTACGTATCTGTTTACCCCTGGACTTTAATTTTTGAGTAATAAATAATAAACTCCTGTAATACCAATAACAACCTTCAATTATTTTTAGAGTTGAACGAAAAATTAAAATTAATGATTGACTTTCTCAGTAGATTCTATATTGTATTTTTTATTGTACATGAAACGTAAATTTCACTTTCATGATAAAAACATGACGGATTCAGATATGAATTTGAGATTAGGAATTGCTGGATTTTACCGTCCCTAATCAGTATTGTTTCACCTCTTAGCATAGAAGGGGGTGGTTTTCATAAACACAAATGTAACCTAAGATTTTAAAATAAGCAAGATTCACAGTTACTACGTATAGAGCTGTTCGTTCACCTCCTCAAACTGGCCACAGTCGGTGCTGACGGCCATGAGGTTGTCCCAGACTCTCCAGTTCTCGTAGTTACATTTCACTGCCTCCTGTAGTGCTCGGAACGCTCGCGCCTTCTGACCAGTTTTGACGTATGCTTTCGCTAAGTTGTTCCACGCCTCAAAACTCTGTAACAGAAATAGTAATTAAGTATCTATTCAAAAAATACTTAAGTGTTATTTACTGATGATTCATTTCTATTCTCTCTCTTCTTGTCCTGGTAATTGGTAAACCTAATTTGTTAAGGTTGTATCACGATTACTAGAAAAATACCCGTATGGATCATAAACATTAACAAATTACGTTTTTAGCCCGAAAGTAAACAAAACCCCTATACTAATAGCATTAATTAACATATGGTTTTGTTTATTTTCGGGCCAAAAACGTCATTTGTTCATGTTTATGATCCATACCGGGTCTTTTCTAGTATCCGTGGGTTGTATATTAAATTAAGAGAATTTCAGAGGATTTAACTTAGAAGTTGATTTGCAATTAAGTACCTATTGAAAATGTTTGGTTGGAATAGCAAGAATAACCCCAGGCACCATTTGATTACTGTGCATACAACACTAACTTGGGCAAAAAACTTTTTAATAAACACTCTGAATTTAGTGAATTTATATAAAACAATCATACTTAAATGTTGTTTTTAGAAGCGACCTTGTTGATTTGTTCCATAGCAAAACATACCTATTATGGCACAAATTGTTTTTTACTCAACAGATCGATAATATAGACTATGTTTTTTTTATTATTTACATTTACTCAATTTTACCAAATTAGTTTTGAGATACTGCAATTGCTGATTTTAAAAGTCTCCTATTTTCATAGCTATAAATGTTTTTGTGACTGTAGCTGTCTCTCACATCAGGCTCGAGTGTGCAGTAGCGACGGTACGCTGTGGCACACAACGGCCAGTTCTCCTGGTCTAGTGCTGCATAGCCAAGTCTGAACCAAAGCCCTTCCTGTAGACTGTTGATGTTGAGAGACTTTTCTAAGTGAGGGATGCTCTCAGCATACTAAAACACATCACTGTTGTTGCATACAAAATACACTTTGGGATACTGAAGTTGACATCCTATATACAGGGTGATTGGTAGTAAGTTTTTGCTGTAAGTACAAAGTAAATGTAGTGTGATGGTGCATATAAGAGGTTCCAAGTAAAAAAATTAGCTTCCCAAAGAATTATTTTAAGATTTTAAAGAATAACCATGTTTTTAAGAAATTTCTCAAATACCTGTAAATGGATTTGAGTAGATGATGTCACTTTTGTGTCTTACATTACATTTTTGAATAAGAATAATAAGGGATAACAAGGGATACCCGCTCTGGCTCGTCCACGCTTCGCATTCCTCATCACAGAACAACTGTTTATAACAAATCATTTTTAGTAACAGCATGCCGCCTATGGAACTCCATACCTTTTCACATTAAATCCATAGAAAACCGATTCCAACTGATGGTGACGCTGAAAGGATATTACCTTGACCGGATGGCCGTAGCTTGGCGGGATGGCGTGCGTAAGGCGACGTGTGTGTGTGTGAATGTATGTTAGGGAAGATTAAATAAATTATGATATTTTATAACTTGTTTTGTTACAAACTGTGTTGTATTTTTTGTTATTATTTTGTTATCATTAGTTTTTTAGAGGTTAACTGTAAGAAAGGACCATGAGGTCCTAAGTTCGCCTCAATAAAGAAGGATTTTCATTTCATTTCATTTCAATAATAGAAAATGGTGGAGGATCAATAGTAAGAACTCCATTGTAAATAGATCCAAAGATAAAAATTAAGGGGTTTGTTAAAAGTTTTATAAACATTGGTCTATTGCATTTTTCTACACCCTGTATACAAGAAGGTATCAAAATATGTTGAAAACTGTGCTATTTTATAAGCTTTACAACCATATGCTACACTATTGAGCTTGACGTCTGATTATGTACGCTTGGAACGTTTTATGCATCATCACACTTCATTTACTTTGTACTTACGCCAAAAAAATTTTGTCACACTGACTACCAATCACCCTGTATATGGATTAGCTCAAGTCAAATTGTTATTCAAATTTAGCATAGTTGAACTATTTGATTCAACATATAAACCTTATCAGTATTTAACTTACTTCAAAAGAGCGTTTTGTCAAGTTTAGATTTTTCAAGATATGCATACAAAACCATCACACAAATAAACTCTGGAAATATCTGGCAGACTTAATGCAAATCAATTAGTTGTCGGACATCTATTTTTTCAGCCGACTGAATATATATTTTATATAATAAAAATTTAGTATAAAACATCAACGTTCATTGTTTTGTTTACATACTGTCCCGTACAGCTGTAGCCAATGTCTGATGTACCTGTCTGCGGTTGTAGTAGTAGAGAGCCCAGTGCCGTTGTGCCCGACCACTTTTATGTTCCGACAACTCCCACGCCTCTCTGTAGCACTCCTCGTCGTCCGTCGCATCACCTAGCAAACAAAGCAGCTTCACTGTGCGCCGTTTCTCCAACTGCTGTTTGATTACCTCTGCTGCCTGTTAAATGGAAACTATCTTCAGAATCTTCATATTTTGTTGTAATAGTGAATCAAAATTTCCTCAAATTTGTCTTACAAATATAGTTACGAAACTAAACTAGTCTATGTTCCAACGGGAGTTCTATATCGTTATTTAGAAAGGACAAAACATTTTGCGCCTGTAGCAGATTGAGATTAGTACACTATCTCTAGGCGTTTGGAGTTGAAGATAGCTAAAGAGGGATAGAAAAATCTACATCATGTTGTTTTAAATCTGTAGAAGAATGATGGAAGAGGTAATTCCAAAGGAGAATTAATGGTTGAGCTGGAGTTGATAGTGATAAGATAGGTAGACCGAGATGAAAACGTTGAATAATTGACAAATTCTTTATTTTTCCTTCTCAGCTAGATTAAGGGTGTACTATTCTCCCAGGACAGGAACAACAACAAAAACAATATGTTAGAGTTGTGGGCTGTGAAAATTTAACTTGTACATTAAAGAAGAGAGGAGGTGTAGGAGAGGCCTAATCAATGCTCAGACTAGATGCTAACCTTGTGGCGCAGTTTAAGGAAGTTATAGCAAGCTACAATCTCTTCCCAGTGGCCGAGAGACAAGAAGATGCCTAGAGCAGTCTGTACCATTCCCAGCGATATGTAGCAGTGTGCCAGCAAGGCGTGTATACGCCAGGCGGGAGGTAGGTGGCAGGCATATATCCAACCTAGGCGGTCACTTGCAGGTGGGCACTCACTGCTAACACTGTCCGACAATACCTGCAACACAATTCATCTGGCTTTGTGAAAGAAAAATGGTCTAATTTGCTAGACAAATTTTAGCTATGTAAGATAAATTGAAGGGGAAACTAAAGACAGGAGGACTTAGGTTTTCTGGATGGTTTTATTAGGATTTCCTTCAGGACTTGTAAAATGTACTCAGGCTCTGTCTGAATCACCATTGGATAAGCTTAGTGATGGGAAAGATTCTTGTTCAATGTAGAGCCACAGTAAATAGTGATGAAATGAAAAATGAGTACGTAGGTTCTATTCTTTGCCCTGGATGTCTTGGTTTTTACAGGATGGTCTAGAGTTGGGGACAAGGGATTTCTAAGTTGGAGTTGTTTTTACTTCCACAGCCACAGAGCCCTCTGAGACACATCACAATACTATTTTGGGTAGTTAGTTTTATAGGCCTAATGAGGATTGAATTTATCCAGGTTTTATTCCTTCCTAAAGGCTTCCACAGTTAGTTCCCAAAATCGGTAGATCCGTAAAGTGACGATCCCATAGATGCAGACGATAAAGTAGTTGCAGACGTTTCGGACAAGATTCAGCAGTCCATTCCCAAGCACTAACAGTGGTAGTGCGTTGAGAATGGACTTAATACTTTAATACTTTTTATACTTTGACTGCTGAATCATGTTCAAAAGGTCGGCAAATACTTAATAATTCTAAAAAAATAGTTGGAGGTTGGACAAGGGCCAGCATCAGTACCAAAGGACGAGAATTCCCTCCGGATGTGACGTCACCAATTTCAGCCAAAATCAACACAGACATCTAGATTCATCATTTTGGATATACAGACATAATTTTTGCCTTTAAGTAATGAAATCATATTTTTTTTGTATTTTAGAGTCGCAATACTCATAATTATTATTAGCACTCTATCAAGGTTTTGTTTTTATGAACATTTTTCAAGAGCTATTTGCCTCAAAGACACCTTCTACCGAAAGTTTAATTTGAGTACTAGAGGTACACACCTGGAACTGCATGAGGGCTCGCTCTACAGTCCGTCTGTGTTCAGAGTCTAGTTTGGATCTTAGCAGTAGCGCAGATGTCTGCAGAGCCCATACTCTAGGCTGACTGGTCAGGCACTGAAAAGAGAATTAAATGACATTAAAAATGTAAGGTGTTTACATGAGCAACAAACAATCCTGAATAGTTACAGTGACTCCAGCTGTTAGCAGGTAATTATGTGCTAAAACGTTAAGTTGAGTATAGCACAGGTGAAACACCCAACAACCCAGAAGCAATTTAATTATGATAATTTTAAGGCTACTGACTAAATTTTAAGAGTTTGCCCTTAGTGTTAATTATGACAAGTAGTGTGAATGGCAATTATTTGATCATAGCACATGTTAAGGTGCGTTTTCCTCCAACTTCAGTAACTGCGCTGCCTGCTACACGATTAATCTAAAGAACGCAGCGTGGCCAGGAACAGCGTGATTAAAATTTTACGCTGCGCAAAAGTGTTTTCCTAGAAATCCGGCAATGCGTTGCGTAACAAGCAGATTCGCGGTTCCACAGTAGCGTTTGATGGATCGGAGAAAGAAGAGTCTCGCTTTTATGTTGTTGGTGGAAGAGGAAGAGATGGACAAAGATGTCGACTCGACATAGCCCTAGCTCTACTGTCCAAAAGTTGATATTCCTGTAGTGAACTGTTTAGATCTAGGAGCCATGAGGGTGCTTTTAGTACTCTTATTAATAGGCACCTGATAGACAATGAAGTAAAATTTAAGGAAACTTTTTAATTTAAGGAAAGTCGATTGCGTTAATTTTTTTGGCCTATCCCACTCTAAAGTTTGTCCTTCTTCAAGTTATTTTTAAAATCAGGATGGCTCATTTTCAACAGAATTTCAAACTCGGACACACAGTCAATTAATAAACTGTCATCATCAACAGTGAACTTGGTAACATCACTACAACTTATCGTTTTCTCCATATTTCCAATGTAAACAATGGCCCAGTTCGGCAGCATGGTTCGCAACTGACTGCTCTCGAGGCAGTGGTCCCAATCACGCTGCACACTGGGCGGTTAGTCGCGCACCGCGCCGCTAGGAAAACAGTCTCATTAGTTTAAAAGGGATCGGTGGTTCCAGCAACCGCGGAGCACGAAGCACGCAGCGTAACAGGCTTCATTTCGTCGCTAGGAAAACACCGCTTTATAAGTAAGCATACTCTAATATTTTTTTAAATTGAAGAATGGTAATCTATGAGCCAAACAAGTAAAACAATTAACTAAGAAAACTTAACTATTTTATTGAAATGTAAAAATAAATTGGTCTAAAGGAAAACAAGAAAATTTTAAATAACAATTTAACTCACAGTGAGGTACGGTGAAAGCTCTTCAGAGTGAAGTTTGTCTTTTGGCTGACTCTTCTGTTTGTGCATACTGTAACAAAAAATAGCTTATACCATGTTGACATATTACAACAAAACAAACAACATTCTACAAAAACACTATCCTGGTCTTCAAATAAAACTGTGCGTCATCATAAAAATTGGTGATGTGACATGGTTTTACCCTGTTACGATTATTAATTGTGACCACAAGAAAATTAAAAACTAAATAATAGTAATTTCAACTCAATGCTTCAGAAATGTGAAAGGCCTATTACCAATATCAAATTCAAAGTAAGATTGAATTGCCAACAGCCTCTCCTTGGTTTTAAGGTATTGTTAAACAAAAAATTTATAATCAAGATAAAAAATATACTTGGAATGATGTAAAACCAAAATCTAAAATATATTACTGTAAAAATGCACATTACACCAATTATGATGATTACTGTAAAAATTGTGCTACCAATATCTTATTTGTAGCCAAATCAGATGACTGTCAAAACGTAGATAGTTTTAACTTGTGTTTTTGTAGTAAATTAGTACAGAAGGAGATAAATTTACTTACAAAATGTAAGTAGTGTAGGCTAAAACTACTGTATGTTTATCAACCGCACCCCATAAAACCACATTAAGCACAACCATAATAAAAATTTAAATCAATTTGAAAATTAGCTAGCAGGCAATGTTAGCTGTCTGCCTAGCTTTGGAAAACAATCGTCAATAGGTTAAAAAGAATAGATTTTTTGTAGGCCTATAGATTTAAAAGTGACAGGAATAACATGACAAACAAACGACTACATTTTCATCTTCTTATGTTGGCTTTAGCGGTCGGTGTCATAAGAGTTCATGGTGTTTTTCGGTGTCAACCGCGTCGTCACTACTAAACTATCACCAGACGTTTCACCCTTACTATGAAGTGGCATCCTCGGTGGCTAGGCTGAGACTGAGCAGGGTTAGGAACGTCAAAGCTAAGTCAGTGCGTTTGGAATGCAGCAATGCAGGGGGGTGCGCTCACATTCCTGGTTCTAGTATGTTGACAATGTTTATTGTATTAACTATGTTTTCAATTACAACTGTTGATCAACCGAAAGAGTAGGTAATCTAAAACTGCCTTTCCCCTATTAATTCGGTTTTACTGTAATTGAAGACTGTTGATAATTTTAGCTCTTGTTATTATTGAGGGTACATTGACATTGAGATTTGATGGCGCCTATTCAGGTAAACACTATACTATTTCAAATTTTATCAGTAACGAGGAGGCTATATACTTTAATACTTTCTTATGAAATGGCGACCATACTATGTAGGTATTTTAAGCCAAGTATGAATGGAGATGAGTGTAGGATGAGTGGCGCGATCTTGTAGTCTTGTTAGTGACTAAGGCCGACATTCCTTAGACACAGCTGTTAATTAATAGCCCAAACAGCTAATGGCAACTAAGGGACCTACAGTTTATAGTGGAATCCGAACCACATTTTTTCCTTGGTATATACGAATTGGTCTAATTTATATTTATTATTTATATAAACATCAACAGACCATGACGCCAATACGAGGGCTTGTTCAGCCGGAGTCAGCAGTGGGTAATGTTCTACGGAGTCATCGGAAAACTTGATCTGACTCAACCTCACGTCATCTTCCAGCTTGACGTCCTGTGAACGGTGGGAGAGGTTACTCAACAAATAATGCTGATGGGTTTGTAACACATATCATTCATTCACATCAGTTTAATGGTGGGTACTGAAAAAAATAAACCATAACTTTGTTGTCCATAGCTATTTGGTGATAGATGCCTACAATGAAATGTTCTGTAAAGACATCCTGAAAGGTGGCAAAGCTAGTTGGATGTGTGGGTAAAGGTAATGGGGGGACGGATGAACAGTTGGAAAACAAAAACGAGTAGGTCCAAAATATAAGTTTAACTATAAATAAAAAAACATCTAAAAAAATAGTGATTTAATGAAAACTCAAAACAGTCAACTACTGAATACACAATATTTTCATGATGCTGTTGCATAACAAAATAAAATGAAAAGCTAAATATGAAAATCAGTTGATTTGCCAGTTATTACCTTAGGAAGATTATTGCCGTCTTCACCTCCTAAAGCTGCTACACTGGCATCCATTGAATTCTCAGAATCCCTGTCTATATTCACACTCAATGTTAACTGGGCCACTTCCTTTTCTTGGAATTTTGTTCTTTTACCGAGAGCACCTGCATGAAATGAAATTAATAGGGTTTTTACTTTTGAAACTGTTAAGAATATTTCCTAAACTTATTGCCAAAGGATTTGAATCTAACCAAGCTTGAAAATTTAAACACAAACTGGAATCTTTAAAAAAGATATAGGTTTTGGAGATACATGAAAATGACAAGGCCTAAAATTGTTTAAGTTATTAATCGACAATCTGAAATGTTCTGCTAAATTACAACATGAGAAATAAAATAATAATAAATGAATAAAAAATACACATTTTTAAGTTTAACTTAAAAAAAGTCTTGGATTCAAAATCAAATATATATTTATTGAAGAAATTAAAACCACTTTGCCTCACCAACTAGACTGAGTTCAATGCCGAGCTGTTTGCTAGCAGCCCTAACAGCCTCTCCGGCCTTCCCTACATGTCCGTAGTGTAACCAGACACTGGCTGCCTCTAGCTGTAGCTGAGCACTGAGAGCAGACGACGCAGCCACCGCCTCACACGTCATCAGCTGATCCAGCAGCTCAGTCAGCTGTTTGTGGATGTTGGGAGATCTCTCCTCCAACACTTGCTGGTGGATGAATAGACATCGCAGACGCCACCAGAGTGTGCTGACCTAACATGAGATTACAACTTGCCTTATAAACAGTAGGTATGAAGCAGGAAGCAGGTTAAAACTACAGAACACTTGGTCAATGAATCCTTTAACTGCTTACACTGGGAGAATAGGTTTGCATTCCTTACTGTCTTAGATTTAGTTTGTTGGAGGGAGATTATTTTTACGTACCTAAATAAATACCTACATCAATAGTTTTTCTAACCAGCAGCACACTGTCCCTTGAGTATTTCAATTGACATACCTATTATTATCAAACCTATCCTATGTATTAATTAGTTTTGATTGTTCAATCTTCGCATCCCCTGTTGAAGATTAAGTACTGTAAGATTGCATGCTATTTCTGTGTGGCATGATTACTATAGCAAGTGTGTCAAGAAAACCTCTTATCCCGATCCCAAATATACTCAGAAGATACAAATTAAGCTTCAGATACCTGCTCAAAAGTTGTTTTTGCATGCTGAATACCACAAAAACTAAAAATATCATTCTGTCTACTGCTCATAATTGGAAACCTCTGTGTTAGCCCTCTCATTTTAGTGTAAACAGAGCACTGTGGCTTAGTGGACATGATTATCGTTTAATCTTGCATTTCTATGCTTAATAGCCTATATAATTAATTATTAAATACAAGTGTATTTTTTTAAAGTATTCAATGTGTATCTATTTTTAAGTATACCCTCCCGTCTTTCCGCAGCTGGTTCAGGTTGGACAGTTGAGAATACTCTACGGTTGATAGGCTACTTCAATATCAATGTTTAAGCATACCGTATTATTGAAAACATCGGAAGTGAGGATGGCCCGAGCTAGCATCAGCAGTTCCAGACCATGGATGTTCGGTGAGATTGCTTCTCCATCAGTCACCAGTTCCGCAGTCAGTCTGTCCAACCACTCAGTCTCTGAGCAGTCTGCTGCGTCAGAAACAGCTCGACGTAGTTCGGGCAGAGCAGACCTGCGTACAGATAACAAAATGACAGTGACGAACAATTGCGGAACGACCGTAATCATGTTAAAATTTATGGATTGTACAGTAGACACACGCTAATCAAGCAAATTTATTAACTTGGCAATGCATGATTATTGAGTACTCTGAAACATAATCCAAAACAGTTGTTATTGCAAGACCATTGGAAATTCTGTTAAATATAGAGCCTCTCTATATTTAACAGAGCTCTCTATATTTAATCGTCAAAAGGAAATTGTTGGTCTGTGGACCATTATGCAGGCTTTTAATGTGCTATATCTAATCTTAATAGTGAGGGGAGCGAGCTGGCGTAGTGGATAGAGCACGGGACTTCAGTCCCTGAGGTCCCGGGTTCGATCCCCGCCAAGTCACCAATGGATTTTATCTAAGTGATAATGCCGCAACGCCTAGGTCTAGCCTGAAGTAATGTGAAAAACAATCCCAGGCTCGTGTCTAGCGTCCTAGGACAAAAAGAAATCTTAATAGTGAAGTAAAACTGTAAAAATTAGCTTAACAAAAAGCAACATTCATCATGAATTTTGATGACAAGGTAGTGTTACTTACTCATGTTTACTTTTGTCCGGAGGTCCAGTCCAATTTGTTTGAACAAAAAGTTGTAAGCTGGATATACCAATGCCCAATAAATCGTAAAATCTGGAAAAAGAAACTTTATATAACTTCGGTTTCCATCTTAGATAGTGACATCCCCTATCTGAGTGTAGAATAGGTTGGTAAGGGTAAGTATAACATTTGGAGGATAATTGTGTTATAATTATTAAATATTGTTCTTTCATTTTGATATTTTGACTTCCTACCATCATAACATTTTGAGGGTACCCGTAGGCCTAATTGTATGTTAACATTAGGCTATTATGTTCTGTCATTTTGATATTTTTACTTTTTACCATTGGAAAAAATAATAGTAAAATCTACTAAATCCAAACATTCTTTAAACAAGGAAAGCCAATAATGTGTGGTACAGCACAATCTTATTACCATTGACTCACTCAGAAACCATTCACTCAGAATAGTGAATATTATTACCCACACTAATAAGTAACAATAGGTACTAGTACCTAGTTGATCTGTTGTATTTTAGTGTTTATAACTGAAGCCACCGTACAGTTCTAAAGAGGAAACGTAAACAACCCAAGAACAAAATAGCTAAGTTTTGTTGATTAGACACCATATAAGAACATTCCATTGCCATGTAAATCATGGAATGTTATGGTGTGGGGTCAAGCAGTTTATGGGTGTTATGTTATGGGTGGCAACAGCTTTACTGCAGAAAAAGTGTGCAGTTTGGTTAACTACTTTTGGTGATAGTCTTGCCTATTGCTAGCCCATCTTTGCGAGGCTAGGCATTTTTACAGAGAGTAGACTCGACATCCAAACCTGCAAATCCTTGACAATATTGACAAGTTTTGTCCTAGAGCTGTAATCTATGATCACGTCACAAGACAGCGAAACAATTTCTACATTTCTAGAGTTAGACTCGACAGAACTAAGAAATGTTTTAGCACTGTGGCTTTAAATCTACAAGTTGCCTGGGGAATCATCTAGAAGAATATTTTGAAGGCCCTCTTTTTGGACCTGGGTTGATTCAAAGTGTCAATTCAAAGCTAAGTCTGTATAATATGAATTTTAAATAATAATAAAAAAACTTTTTCTCCCATGGGGCAAAAGTAGAACTCGAGAAGCATATATATTTTACTATTAAAATCTTGATCTTTTGCACTCACTCTGCAAAATCATTGTTGCTTTTTAAAAGCCTTTTGATGCTGAGTTTCAAACTCTGTTCTAGTCCATTCTCAAATGTTAGACTCTTCAATATAGAGGTACATAATGGATGGTCAAGATTGTCTCTGAATTTAGCTTGAAGTAAGTTCAACAGAATTTCACTGGATACACCTGTAATCAGTTTATGTTACTTTATAAAGAGCTGGATTTAATATAAAAGTCATCAGATTCACTACCAGCCGTCACACCCCTATGTATGTGCGGTGGGGCACACGGAAGATTTCTCAGGTGCCGTTTGACGTCACTAACTGCTGACGTCACTAATTGCTGCGTCTGAAGAAACAGACAATTTTATAATTTTCTATTATTAAATTAAACTGTCATAACCTAACCAAACGTGCTGATAATGGAAAAATCGAATAAAGGTTTACTAATCTAAAAAATTGTTTTGTTCATAAAATAAAATTATAATTGCCTAAAATTCAATTTTTAATTTTTTAATTATAAAATTAAACTGTAATAACCTAACCAAACCAACCAAACTTGCTGATATGAAAAAATTGTTGATAAAAAGTTATTGCCGCCGGCGGGATTCGAACCTAGAACAGTCGGATTATCAGCCCGCAACGCTATCCACTGCACCACCGAGGCCGATGGCACAAACCCGTATCGTTGCGGTATTGGTATTCCCTCAAAGTGACGTCAGCAGTTAGTGACATCAAACGGCACCTGAGAAATCTTCCGTGTGCCGTTTCGTATGTGTAGTCTACTGATACTAAGTAAACTTAGTGAATTTTTTAACAGATTTACTACCTTACCGTACACTAAGTTATGTGTGTAAACAAGATGCTTTTATGCATTTCGGTTCAACGATGCAACAAAGGTGCTAGTTGTATCCAGGAATGTGAATGTAAACAAATCAAATGAGGGGCCTGAATAAATTCAATATTTTTGGTTAGTTTTTTATTTAAAAATTATTAACTTATTAAGTTACAATGGGAAATAATGAAAATATCAAAACATTGAAAGTGATTGATATACAGTATTTAAGTTCAATATTTACGTTAGGTTGTTTGGGATAGGTACCACTCATGAAAGTCCTAACCTAAAATATTTGTAATTCATGGTAGTCTAGGATTCTTTACTAAAAGTTTAACAAATAAGTTAAATAACTTAACTTTGTAATCATTACCTTCCAAGCTTGATTTGTTTGGGTAGAAAACTAAACATTGATCCAGTCCTGCACGAGTGTCCATGACTTTTAAGCTTATAATCGATAAGAGATTGATATTATAGGCCTAATTTATTGTACTTGCAAACACAGGTATAAAATGTTTCCCCAACACAACACAACAAACTAAAACCGGACTAGTAAATAAATGCTGAAACGAATATTTACCCGAAAGCGTTTACCAACGAATGACAAGTGAATGAACATAACCTTAAAATTGAAAATTGATGCGAGTGAGTAGCGTAGCGAGCGGTGGGGCACACGGGAGGGACTAAGACTAACATATCCTGTAGTGTCAGCGTTCGCCGCTAGAACTGCTAATTTGAAAAAATTTAAATTATTTTTTTTAATTTTTAGTTATAAAATTAACTTTTTAATTATAAAATATTGTTTTAAAATTATAAAATTAATTTTTAATTTTTACTGTCATAACCTAACCTAACCAACCAAACTTGCTGATATGAAAGATTTGTTGACAAAAAGTTAGTGCTGACAGCGGGATTCGAACCCGGGACATCCTGAACATCAATCCGTAACGCTGCCAACTATGCCACGAACGCCGCTGAAATCACAACGTTTCGTTACGGTAATCGTGTTGCCTCAAGAGAATACATTAGCCACTAGAGATATGACGTCATTACACCTTTAGCCTTAGTCCCTTCCGTGTGCCCATTCCGCTTAGCGAGCATTATTCGCTGTTCATTGTACGCAAGGCCTATGTATTGGACATTGCGGTGGGGCACACGGAAGATTTCTCATTATAAAATTAAACTGTCATAACCTAACCAAACCAACCAAACTTGCTGATATGAAAAAATTGTTGATAAAAAGTTTAGTGTCGCCGACGGGATTCGAACCCGGATCATTTTGTTTATCAGCTCGCAACGCTAACCACTGCACCACCGAGGCCGATGGCTGGAACCGTATCGCTGCGGTATTGGTGTTCCCTCAAAGTGACGTCAGCAGTTAGTGACGTCAAACGGCACCTGAGAAATCTTCCGTGTGCCGTTTCGTTGGACGTTGGTATTGCAGACCGCAGACCGAAACGGCACACGGAAGATTTTTCAGGTGCCATCTGACGTCACTAACTGCTGACGTCACTTTAAGGGAACACCAATGCCGCAACGATACGGTTGTGAGCCATCGGCCTCGGTGGTGTAGTGGATAGCGTGGCGGGCTGATAATCCGAATGTTCCGGGTTCGAATCTCGCCGGTAGCACTAACTTTTTGTCAACAATTTTTTTCATATCAGCAAGTTTGGTTGGTTTGGTTAGGTTATGACAGTTTAATTTTATAATTAAAAAAATATAAAATAAAAATTTTAGGCATTTAAATTTTTTTTTATAAACAAAACTATTTTTTGTGTTAGTAAACCTTCATTAGATTTTTCCATTATCAGCACGTTTGGTTAGTTTGGTTAGGTTATGACAGTTAAATTTAATAATAGAAAAATTATAAAGTTGTTTCTTCAGACGCAGCAGTTAGTGACGTCAAAACGGCACCTGAGAAATCTTCCGTGTGCCCCACCGGACAGCAGACGAGACGAGCAGACAGCACTGAGGAATTCGAATTACCACAGCACAGCTGATGATTGGAATTGTCAGAACAGATTAACCAAACCAGATGACTCTAAAACTTTTTTTTATGCAAGACAAATTAAATATGTCAAGTTATTGGTTTATTATGATATTTTTTGTCTCGAGTTGAGTGTGAGGGATTATTGAGCTTTTAAAGAAAATCTCTTTCCGACCTGAACATATTCTTTGTTATTAAGTTAGTTGAATTAATTTCTGGATACGGTATAGCCTACATTCGATTCACATTGGTCAGTATTGAAAAATGAACGCAGACTTAGGTTAGGATTGAGTCATTCAGATTCAGGTAAGACAGCAACTTATTACTAGCCTAACTACTAAAAAATATTGTATACGATTAACCACCTAACTATTACGCTCTTATAGTGACACTCTTTCAGTTAATTGATGTGTTATAAGTATCTGCATTAAAACCGTGATTATGCCTTCGTCCAGGTTATAGGCCTATTATTAATATCATCCACAAATTTAGAGTTCCACAGAGAACCTGCGATATAGTCTATTATCGGTTCGATATATAGCTATTATAATTCGGTATGATAAGTTATATCTAACTAGGGATCCCAGACGTCCTCATTTCCCCTGACACGGCCTCTTTTTTTGGGTACTTACTTACTTGAATACTTGAATACTTGATTCCTTCATCCTTGACCAACAAACGTTGGATAGATTGCGTAAAAAAAAAGTAACTTATAAAACACTATTATAAACATATATATATACAATTTAAACTGTACTGACGGATGTGACTCGGATTTTTGGAAAGTCGAGTGGATTGTCAATCAGTTCCTTGATGGAGTACAGAGGCCTACTGACTAGGCTCTGGCGAAGTGCAGACTTAAACTGCTTTGGTTCTAGGGTCCGGATGGTTGTCGGTAGCGTATTAAATAATTTTATCGCTAGAGATGGATATGAGTTAAGCGTGTGGCTAAGTCGACAACGGGGTGCATCCAGGTCATAGGCTCTGCGGGTTCCATAGTTGTGCTGCATGTTTCTGGTTGAGAAGTTGTTTATATTTTCTCTCAGAAGAACTAGGGTGTTTAGCGCATACTGGCTGAAAACTGATAGTATGCCAAGTTCTTTAAAAAGAGGTCCACAGTGATCGGTAGGGCCAGAGGATGTTATTAGTCTTAGCGCCTTCTTCTGCAGCAACAGCACACTCTGGGTCGCATAGCAATGGCCCCATACCACCAGTCCATAATTTATGTGGCTATGGAATAATGCATGGTACATTATGACTAGGTAGGGACGTGTAATCTCATGTTTCAGTTTCCTGATCAGATATAATATTCTGCTTAGCCTGACGCACACTCTCTCCACATGGAGGTTCCAGTTGAGTTTGGAATCGATCCAGAATCCTAGCAGTTTGACCGCCTCGTCTTCGATGCCCTGTTTGAGGGTACACGTGATGGATTGTGTTTTATCGTCATTGATTTTAAGGCGATTCAAAACGAACCATTCTTTGGCCTCATCCAGCAGAAATGCTGCCTCGGTTCTCAGGTCGTTCAGGTTGCCGTGCCTGGTCAGTAGTGTTGTGTCGTCTGCAAAGAGCAGCGTTTGTCTATTTAGGGACAGATCATTAATCATTATGACGAACAGGACAGGGCCCAGAATCGATCCCTGGGGCACGCCGTGGTGTATTTGCCTGACACTGGAGGAGGCTCCCTGCAACGAAACAATTTGTTTCCTGTTTTCTAAGTAGCTGACTATTGATTTGTGGACTACTCCAGTGACGCCATATTTGCCAAGCTTGGCAAGAAGGATGTCATGAGAGACCACGTCGAATGCCTTGCTAAGATCACAGAGACTGAGATGGACGGAGTCATTAGATTCAAAGGCATCAGAGATGTTCTTGACTAAGCTAAGGAGTGCAGAGGTTGTGGATCTTCCGGCCCTAAACCCATGTTGAGAATCGTTAAACAGGTTGTTGTTGGGTATATAAAAAGTGTCCGGGGGGGGGGGGGGGATTTTTGGCAAAACCTTAAAACGTCCGGGATTTAGACTCCGAAAAGCGCTAAGTGTCGATATATCGTGCTGGTGCGACTTTCGATCATGTGAGTTTAAATGAGCATATCGGTTGTAGTTTCGAAACAGCGATGGTTTCCTTTGATTCCTCATACGATCGAGGCCCGATATATCGTTCCTTAGCACTTTTGAGATGAGAAATTTTATTTTTTCAGATTTTTCTTCTCGCGCACTAGACTTTGCCCCTGAAGCAAGCCTAGCACTTTTTGGATGAAATAAGTAAATAGCTGTAAGCACTTTTCAGAAAATTACAAAAAAATATTCTAGCATCGAAAAGGTTAAATTAAAATCTTGTGTAACTGTAATGATAGCTTATATTTAGAAGCTTTGTTTCCTTTTTTAGGTAAAATTTTGTGTTTAAAGCTTAAGACTGTGTTGGCAAAATTAACCCTAGCTGTCTCGGTCTCTGCTCACCACCACCCAGACCAGCGACTATCAGACTATCTAACTACAACTAGCTCCTCGTCTGCTTTCTGTTTACGTTTACACTCCTATACTTACATTAAAATAACTTTCTTAGCCTACTGTTAATAACTACTTCTGTTTTGTCATTCTTGAACATTCCTAGACCCTACTAATGCCAAAAAGAAAATGTGTATTTTCAGTCAAGTCAAAAAAGGGATTAGCTTACCTTGCGAAAAAGTTCACGTGTTTAAAAAAAATCAATAAAACTCCAACCTTTAAGCAGTTGCATCATCCTCCGAAATTGACAGTTTTGTTCTTTTTAAAAACTTAACTAGGCCTAAACTCAATCATTTTGCTTGTGTTGCTGAAGAAACTGCATTTCACACGTTATAGTAAAAACATCACCAGAGTTTAGAGTCCATGGATCGTACCACTAAACTTCAAAATGTGTTGTTTAAAGACTCATAGTCTTGCAAAACATTTTTCTAATCCAGTAATTTGATATTAAGTGGTCCAGTAATCCAGACAAAAGTTTTGGAGTTAAAAGCCTAAGCTGCCAATTTTTTCAATAGCATTGTTAACATAGGATGCCTGAATGAAAATTAAAAGCAAATATTTTAGTGATAGCCTAGTAAAGAATTGGTAGGAAATCAATATTCTAGTTTAAAATGTCTAAAACTTACAATATCATATGCTATGTTTTTAGGAATATTGTCAAAAAATATATTCAGTTAAAAAAATTCCAAAATGCTGAAAGTTCAAGAATTAAGAATATAGTATATAGAATATTCTAGTACCTATCTAAAATAGGCCCCTAGTCCAAAAACTTTTTTAAAAGCCCTTAAAACACAAAAGTAATTCTAAATAAAAAGAAATAGATGTGACCCCACCCCTCCAAGGTATGTTCTGCGAGTCATTATTGTCCTCTCTTTTGATGGATGCTCTCTGGGAACCCTATATCTAACTTATCCCTTCTAAAATCTTTCCCGATGTAAACATCAAATTGAGTTATGGTCTGTTTAATTTTTTATTTAATACTAGCAGAGTAGGCCTACCCGTCCTTCGTCCGGGGTTTATGTATGTTTAAATGGTGCTTTTTGAAATCTGAAATGAAAAAACAGTGTAAAATAAGATGAAATTCCAATAAATGTACCTAACAATCTCGCTTATTTCATAAAATCAATAATCAATGAACCATCAAATATAAGAATAAATAAACATGTCACACGATTGTAGAGAATATTAGCCCATGCCTATTTCTATTTATAAACCAGCTGTGGAAGTGTGAATAATGTGGTTTGACAGTTCAGCTTGTTTACATTTGGGTGGCATAGCAAATTGCAAACATTGTACTGTATGTGTTTTCATGTTAGCCATGGAGACCAATCAATATTTACTTTTAAAATCCTCACTTCAGAACTTATAAAGCCAAAGGGGCAAAGCCTACGGTCAGTATCGAAGTGTGAATAGTCCTATAATGGTCCTTGGTATGGTAGCTATATTTTTGTAAAATTTAAGCCCAGTCAGTTCAGTAGTTTATGCGCCTATTAGTAACACACATATAGACAGACACCACTAGATTTTTATATAATAGTATAGAAATGAAACTAACTTATCAATAAGCTAGTCAATCAAAAACCAAATACAGTATAATTATTTTATGAAAGTTAACAATAGCCTTAAGATCGCAGGTTCTCTGCGGAACTCTACCTACCTATTTTTATGCATGTAATTGATTTTAAAAATGGCTATTTTGCCGTAAATACACAAATAAATAAATATTGGGCAGACATAAACAAAGAATCATTCCATGGCAAATCATCTAGGGCAGCGGTTCCTAAGTTAAACATTTCGGTATGGTGACTCACATAGAGCTAAAATTTCCTTTTGCGACCCACTTAAATAATATCAATAAGTTAACTTATTAATTACGGTAGCCTATCATTATCATGCATTTATTAATATAAATATAATAAGATTATCATGTAAAATGTGTAAGTTAGTGAGAGGTAGGTACTTGTAAAAATACTATAGTAGGTTCCTACATAAAGTAGAACTAAAGAAACAAAAATTTGTTCAACATGATGACCAATAACAGAACAATGGTGAATGATGAAAGAATAGTGCAGTGATAAGAAAGAAAGATAACGGTGTAACTTACAGTGCAAAACAATTGACTAGGAGAACAATTCAATCCATTGGTAGGTAATAGTCATAGAAGAGTTTGACATTTTAAGTTAGTGACTGAACTAGTCTTCATCAAAAATGTATCTAAATCTAAAGCTTTAAGCTTATATCTAAAACTATGTTACTAAAATATATCATACTTATGTTATGAATGTTTTCAGAATGTCAAATATAAATATTGTTTGGAATTGGACACAATTTTGTGAGCAAGACGATGATCTTATTATCTGGGACCCTCGCCATAATGACTTTGGGCGATGTTTTGAAGTCGTCTGCCTCCAATTCCCACTTCTCGCACTGCTCGCCATCACCTCTGCCTATTACTGTGGGAAACAAATGGATTGGGTCGTCCGTACATCCTTCGAGTCCAACGTTCTGAAGATTCGTTATTTAACATGTCTCCTTCTTTCTATGGTAAGTAATGTATCATGTACGCACAGCTAAATATTCATCAAATGATTGAAACATTTCAATGTTGCTTACTAACAAAAGATAGTACCGATAATTGAGTGAGGGGTGCAAAAAAATTAAGTTACGGTATTGATAGTGATTAATTAATGTTAATCCCCAACTATTATTTTATTTTTAACAATCATCATAATATTTGTTTAAGATAACATCATTCATCATAGGCCTAGTGTAAAATCCTATCTAGGTACTGTACACTGTACAGTATTAATTTTTATAAGAAATTACCGTTTGGTTTTTTTACTAATAGGATTTTCAGTGTAGTTCTTAACTTTAAAGGTCTACAAATTGAATTCTGTGAAAAAATTACCAAAGCCTACTAAATGCAACTAATACTTGTATGTGTTCAAATTGTGATTTCTATTGATTTAAATCAGCTCTCTAAAGTTCAACGTAGTACTTTTTCAAGAAATCTTTAGCTGCCACTTTAAAGAATTTTAGTACCTAGTTCATTGATCATTAGTCATTTAATGGACCCATTTTTACGATCTTTTATAAGGTCAGTATGATGCTAAATTATATTTTTTTAATAATCCGCTATGGATTAATTTTTTAACAGTTTTTAGGGAAAATTTGTAGTGATTTTCAATCCTACGTTTCAATAAAAAAAATGATACATATTAGGCAATTAATTATCTGTGAAAAATAAATGTTACCTATACATAATGCACTTAATCATCTAAAATTTAATCGTTTTTGAACAGTTGAATAACCAAGTAGGCTACAGTATACAATCCACATACAAAGAAAATGTTAAATCCAATTTTCTGTGACAGGTGCCCGTGGTTAGTACATGGTACCAAGTATCATCAGGTAGTAAGCCGTTGGTCCCAGTGCAGTATTTCTTCTCATCCGTACAATGTCTGACGTGGCTGACACATTTCATCTACGTGTTGGCTCTTAGACATCGTCTGGGCCCGGGTCTGCGTGGTCCTACGATCGTCTGCCTCCTCTGGTTCGTCAACTTTGTCTGCAGCTGTGTCATGTATCGCTCCACGTACAGAGTCAGTGGGATGATTGCGGATGGACAGATGGAAGTGACGTTTGACACTGTCTCACTGATACTGCAATGTGTCTATGGACTCACTCTGCTTCCAGGAGGCCACTACGACCAGAGAAGCTCTACCTATCACACCTTGAATGTCCAGGTACTAAAACAGTAGCGTAATTGTTTACAACACGTAAGTGAAAGGCTCAAATAGTAGTTTACGCAACGATTGCGTAAAGCTAGTGTTAACGACAGAAGTAGAAAGGCTTGTGCCTTAAAAACTTCTACGAGTGCCGTTAACACTATTTATGCGAGTTGCGTTCACTACTTTACATAAAAAAGTGTTTTAATTACTAAAAATCACTACTCATAGCTTCTAATAGAGGTTATGTTATGTTTATAACCTGTTATTGCCACTGCAGTGATGCAACGAAATATTGTACCAAACGCTAACTGCACCACTCAACAAATAAATTGACCTGAACAGCTGATTAGTTGAAGTTTGAATCATTACAATTTTACTTCTTCTTTTTCAATACTTGTACCTCATTGGTCCGTTACCCATGTCGATATGAGTAAAACTATGCTGTTATGAGAAACTTTTCAATTCTAAGAACTGAACTGAAACGACTACTTTAAAAAACGGTCGTAGGTAAATTTAGTTTTAGACCCCAATTTTTATATCTATATCTATAAAAGAGGAACTATGTATGTATATATATGTGTATATACCTTATGGACTCCGAAACCGCTCGACAGATTGTAATGAAACTTTCAGGCATTATTAAGCATCTTTCAAGGATGGTTCGAGTGAAGTTTGGTGCATATCCGTCAAAAGGGCTCTGCCCCAGAGGGTTTTAAGTGGGCCAATGTCAGACTTTTTGATCTAGAATGTTTACAAATAAATATAATTTAAAAGCAGATGTTTACTTTCACCAACTGTTCTGTACGTTTGAATAACTACTACATTCTGTATTAGCATTAGTCATGATTTGAAATAGTGCCACAGTGTTTCTACAGATTGCAGCACAGAAAACTATTTTACTTTTGAATAAGTCCAAATGTATTAAACCCCAATCGAAGCACACCTGTGCACTTAACAACGTTTAAATTCTCCAATGTTAAATATTAAAACAAAAAAATCTTTAAAAAAGTACTGTATTATAAACAATAAAAGGGATGACTTTTTTTAAATGTATGACAACAGCTTATTTGCAACCAAAAGGGAGTGAGCATAGCGAACGAACATCAACCTGGAGGCGAGTAAGCGTAGCGAACGAGCTAACCTGAAAACAAGTGAGCGCAGCGAACGATTCCCAACCTGAAGGTGAGTGAGCGTAGCGAACGAACTTCAACCAGGACGTGATTGAGCCATGCGAATACTTATGAAGTTAAGCGGGGCAAAGCCCGCGGGTACAGCTAGTATCACAATAAAAGACAATCTAATCCTTAAAGATGTCCTATACTAAAGGAGAATATTATAAAGTTTAATATTTTAAAGGAAAGGCAAGTGGTTAGCTAGTAATTTTTAAAAGGGAATAGAGTTCAGGCAGCTGACATGAGAAAATTTTACATGAGTCCAGGGGCTAATAGATGCGCAGTAAAATTTCACAAACCAATACACTGACATTTTGTTGTAATAATAGGACCACTTTAGAGAGCAGGCTGAAGAGAAATAAATTTTTATTTAATTCTTTTATCGTCAACTTACCATCGGAAGAAGTCTTTTATATTTTCCTTCTTCTTTTCCCATCCATTCTAGGACCCTAGGCTCTAGCACAAACCCATTTCACACATTCAGCTACAGGGTTGCGGCATTATTTATTAGATAAAACCCATCAGCCTAGTGAAAGGCAGGTTTTGAACCTGGAACCTTGGGGACCACCTATCAAGAGACCAGCTGGCTCCTTAATGACCTCTTATATTGGGACGAAATGGCATGTTTATTTTAATAGCTATTGAACTCTAACTTTCACAAATAAGCTACCTGAATTCTATCCCTTACTTACAAAATCCTTACAATCCATTCCAAACACTTGATCAGTCAAACCTCTTTGATTGTCTGCAGACTGCAGCTAGTCCAGCTATGATTAGCAGCACGTACAGCGGGTTCCGAGAAGATTTGGACCCCGGCTACCTGGGAGTGGCTGGGGGTGAGGAGTGGGGAGTGTTGCCACGCCTGTGCTTCTCCTGGGTGGGGCCGCTGATGTCCAAGGGCGTGGCGGGGGGACTCCGGTCAGCTGATGACCTTCACGATCTGCCAGTGTCTCTCACGTCAACCCATGCGTCACAGCTGTTAGAGAGAGCGTTGGCGCAGTCTCGTCTCCTGGTCGCTTTACATAGGTATGTCCTACTGATTGTACCTCAGGTTTTGGCTGGTTAGGTTAGATTATTTTATTCCAGCTACACAAAATTTAAATTTTAGAAGTAATACTTGCACTGTTAAACTATTGTGGCCCCGTGGTTTCACCGTCCCTCATTACTTCCACTGTTTAGTTTTAATGGTCTCTTTATTTAAATAACCAACAAAAGAAGATTCTTTTTGTACTTATTCAAGGCATGCTTCAGAACCTACTTTTGATTTCCAAATCAATCCTAACCTATTAAAAGTAGAAATTCTTTTTTAGGCATTTAGATTTTCCTCTATACTCCTACCCAGTGCTTGATTTGTAAAAAATGAGGTGCCGGAACTGTAACCAATTTAATGTGATTTGTACCTATTTATGCCAATATTTTTATCTTCCCAAAAGATAGGTACCGGAATTACTGTACGTTCCGCCGCGTTCCCTCGCGAATCGAGCACTGCTCCTACCACTACTGGAAGTAAAAGGTTATGCCATCTTTCTCTACCACCTCAATACAGTAGAATTTCAATTGTCCGACCTTAATTAGCTGTGACAAGATCTGATAAGTGGAAAGGTTAGTTAACAAAGGAAAGGGGCCTTCATGATAGTGTTGGTAGTAGTATTGTCAAAGGGTCTTACTCGTAAGGGCTCGTCCAGTAATAAGTCTGCCAGTCAGCTTAGGCTGCCTAACTTAGGTTGGCAAGATCTATAGTGATATAGGTAACACAGTTCTGCCTTGACTACTATGTTATTGCTAAATGGCATTATTTGCCTCCAGACAGCAATATTACCTAGCCTATGTTTTAAATTTGTATGTATTTTTTGTGTATTCAGTGTAATTCATGTTTACTAACGTGTAATTCTTATTATTACTAACCTGTAATTCTATGACCAATATTTGCAGGTGTTTCTGGAAGGAGTTCTATGGCATTGGGTTGCTCAAATTCATTTCTGATGTAAGTGGCTTCTTCGGACCTCTTCTGCTCAACAAACTAGTCACATTCATCGAAACCAAAAGTGAAAATGTACAAGATGGATATATCTACGCTGCATGTCTATGTGCAATCACTTTAATTGGTTGGTTAATATTTTACTACTGTTATTTAAATAACAACATTTTTAGTATTTACCAGTTTATTGTAAAGCACACTCACTGTTCAATTGTGTGTCTAAATAGTACTGTAAATTTTAAATCCTGAAACTAAAACAAAACATCATAATCGATTGAATCTCAAATGTTTAAAATCTAATTGCAAAACCCTATTGACTTGCCTGGTTAATGTTATAAGACAAATCCTGTTGGTTACTCCGATTCTACCAGATATTAAATACCAGAATTAAATGATATTTTTTATAATATCGTATAACTTATGCTATGAACACATCAATCACATTGCTGAGAGATTTATTTATCATTCTATCTTTGTGATTATATTATTATTATTACTAGACTAGTGCGCTGATTAATTATTTTAAAGCCCCAAACTGAATGATTATACCCCATCACTGCTACATAAACATGTTTTATATTATGAATCTTAAATTGTTTTATTGCTGTCAACATAAAATCTTCACTGCTGTAACTGATTCTTCCCATGTTTTCTTTCCTTAATTTTGGTCAATCAAACTGAGCAGCAATATTTTTTTAAACTGAACAGTTTTTCAGTCATTTCTTAATAGACTAAGTAAACAGCTGTTTAACTTTACAGGGAAGAGAGAGTGTATTTCATAAATTGTAGAATGACTGATCGAAATGTATACTGTACAATACGGACGATGACATTTCCGTGTGATATATTATTTTTAACTTTTAAAGAAGGCAAAAGTCTGTAGGCCAGTAAAAAACATTAGAGGGCTCAATTAAGTACTCCTCACTTATCTTTGGATAAAAAAAGAAAAATAGAATCCGGCCAGAATTGATTTATTGGATTAAACCCTGGGGATAGAAAGCCTTAAGTTCTGCACACATAATGTGTGGTTTTAATATTAAAATTTTACTACGGTACTGATGTTATTCATTTATTTAGTTCAGGTAGGTCCCATTGTGTTTCAAATGGACAAAGTCTATTGTACTTACTATAAAAACTATATGACTATCTGACATTAGCAACTTTTTCCCAGGTGCATTTTGCAACAGCCACTTCAGTTACCTTATGGCTAAGGTGGGACTCAAGATAAGAGCATCTCTCGTTTGTATTGTCTACAAGAAGACTCTCACCCTAAGTACAATCACTTTGTCTAATTTCAGGTAACATTCAATTATTCTTAGTATTCTTCATAAAATTAATTCTCTTATTCTTTGTATTGCATTATTTCATCCAATCCAACAACAGCTATCAGTAGCATACAGCACCTCTGTAAGGGTTGGGATTTGTTGAACTAGTTTTGCACTGAGTACAACTCTTGGAAATCCAAGTGGAGACTGATGCCCACAAACTAAAAGTTAACTGACCTAGTACAAATATCTGTAAAAATTGACAGGAACTTGTAGGCCTACTCAACCTTCATCAACTCCCAAGCAAAAAGTAGAATGTGTGGATGAAGTAAAGTTTGCCTTTCCCCAAATATTCGTTCGCTTTGATTTGTGCAAAAATACTGAATATGAACTGGAAAACACAAGCACGAATGTTTGCTGCTTGCCAAATAGACAAAAACCTATACACACTACTCGCGATTCGGCGAGTCACTGCTCGGTACTTAGCGAATAGGGCATGTCTGCATTAACTTGTTACATGCTTGGTCGATTAGCTGGAATGCTAAGAGCACTTTTTATGTAGTACTATTGGGGCTGATATTCGTTTTACTGTACTTTTTAAAAATAAACTCTAGATAAAATGTTTTTTAACAATTATTTTTTAATCACCAGCATTCAAATTGTTAATGTTTGCAGCACTGGTGAGATCAACAACTTCATGAGCACGGACACTGATAGAATAGTAAACTCATGTGGAAGCTTTCATGCTTGCTGGAGCATTCCGTTTCAGGTAGTAACCTTGTGTGTCTTAAGTTCTTCATTCTTAAGAACATAAACTAGTGAGTTTTCAGGATAAATATTAGTCTATACTTCTCATTAGCCTTCTATCACACCTTACGAGTATTTAACTCATGAAGTTAAGTATTGCCATTAAACACTTGTGTTCAAGTGGTGTTGAGCTTTGGTGTTTTTAAACCAGTAGTTGGTAGTACTGTATATGAGAATGGAATAGTCTTCAGTGTTAATCTGAACCAATCAATTCACATTGATAAGTCCGGAGACATCAGAATAGGATGATCAGAATAGCTGATGATGTTCTACTCTAGCTAGAAAAAGATTGAGATCATCCCACTTGTATTCAGTATGTATGGTGAGTCATAACCTCTTTTTGCTCTCTCTCTCCTTTTTAACCATTGAAGTTTTTGCCAGTTTTTTACGTTTCATCCCGCATTAGAAAACAAATTGAATTTATTTCCTAATTAGATTCTAAATTCAGACAGTGCTTGAATGATAAAAACTAATGCGCTGAAAGCTGTCCCACAGAACTTATCAGGAAGTGTTTGACCATTTTCATTTAGTACATCAAGGTAAAACGTTCAAATTCATCAGTGGCAAAAATAGTTTAAATCACTATCAATTTCTGTTCTTTTTTATATTTCTAAATATTCTCTAGTAGACATAAAATTTAGTTATTTTTTGTACCTATTCACAACAATGTTCCTACCAAACTAACTTAAGACATAATTTTCACCATTCTAATGTCACTTTTGTTTCTCAGATAGCAGTGACATTGTACCTGTTATACCAACAAGTAGGAAACGCCTTCTTGGCTGGAGTTGTGTTTGCTATTGTTTTGATACCTATCAATAAATGCATCGCCTCGCAAATTGGTAAGCATGAAACAGCGATTTTAGGCAAATTCGTAATCAAAATGTTAACAAATTCGTTGTCTTGTTTTACGATGATAGTTTTGTGGCACTCAGGAAGAGTGTTTGATATATATATTTTATGAACAATGAATGAATAGTGTAATTTTGTTATTCAACTAAATAAGTAGTTTAGTTAAGTACTCTTACTAAAATTAAATAATGTACAGATCTCAACAACTTACATATTATTCTACGACGAAGTAAAAAGTAGTGCTCCAAGGCAAACAGATTTTTTAAATATGAGATAAATCTTTATAGATTTTAAATTTGTTTTAGTTTACTATGTTCTTTTCTTGACGTGGCAGGGCAGATAAAAACAAATTACTTGCACGTTGGGGTCTACAAACGCTTTTTTGGCAATGTCTTTGAACCCCTTCAATTTTTATCCATCGCAGGAATCTTAACTAGAAGTTTCTCTTTAAAAGGCAAAATTTGTCAAAGACGCCAACAGTTATGCTGACAAAATGCCCTTAAAATACCTTTATTTATATAGTCACTGTTATTAGTTTTATTTATATCAAAGCATGTTCGTAAAGCATAAAGGTAACTTGTTTTTTGATTTTCTTGGATTTAAAATGTTTTCCACTATATATATTTTGCATTCATGTTGTTCACTCAGATGAGTACAGTTTATTGATACAACCTGATGTGTGCCTCCTGTAGTAGCAAAGTTTCCTCATACTATTGCCATGTCATTGTGTGTCTAATCCCAAGAGTAAAGTAAAACTAAAGTACCCATATAGTAAACATTGGCATAAATATTTTGTCCCCGTTTGGCACTTTACCAGGACAGCAGAAAACATACCACGATTCTTAATGAACAGTTTTCGAATTGTTAAGTATTTATTAAACAAATCTGAAACAGTAATACCCCTACAGTAATTTCATTATATATTATTTTTGCTTGTAGGTAAACTCAGTACAAAAATGATGGAACAGAAAGACAACAGAGTGAAGATAATGTTGGGTATCTTGCGAGGAATCAAGACAATAAAACTGCATGTTTGGGAGGATCACTTCTTTGACAAGATATCAGGTAAGACAAAAACTAGTTGATAAATTATTTTTCCTACCACTGCACGGACCGCCACACCTGTAAACAGCTCATCAATAAATCAGCTGATTTCCTTGATTGTTGTTTCTACGCCAAAGTCACCAACCACAGCCGCAGAGCTGGTATGTTAACAACTGGTACCTAAGCAATAAAATAACCTAATAAAAGCAAACGTAACCTAAATGACATTTTATATACAACTAAAAAGCTAATCTGTGTGTTATGATAAGTTAATTACAGTGGAAGGAAAAATCTTGTGTGTATTACGAGCACAAACAGTCATTGCCGCTCTCAAAATGAATGCCATCTACAGTTCTTGAGCGGTAATGACATACTTTGCGTTCTTAATACACAGCTATTTACAACTGGAAACTGCTTTCTGGCGAGACAAAAAGAGTCATTTAGTCATAATGATGTTATTTGGTCCAGGATCACTTCTTGAAAATTAAAATGGTATATGATTACCTGTTTCCGTCTGTGATCCTAATTTGTAGTAATGAGCTACCGGTTTCGAGGTTATAACCTCATCATCAGGCTCTTGTCACTCTTGCGAGGTCGTCGAGTTTTACAAACACACAAAACACTGACATTTAAATAAATAAAATACGACATTGACGGACGAATACGATTTAACATAAAAATCTGGAACTAGTTCCACATACGACGCGGCACGGGCAAACGTTTTGTCGTAGAGTCATGACAAAACGTTTGCCCGTGCCGCAACTATAAGAGAATAGCTTGAGTAGATTTTAGTGTAATGTTTGTGCCAGATATTCGTTCCCGAGAGCTTCGCTACCTGAAGGGCCGTAAGTATCTGGATGCTTTGTGTGTCTACTTCTGGGCGACTACTCCTGTTGTGATCTCCATACTCACATTCGCCAGTTACACCCTCATGGGAAACCGTCTGACAGCGGCTACGGTGAGTTACTTAAGTGCTTGTCTTTGAACATGTATCATTAGAATCTTGTATCAGCTGTTATATTCCTAGGAGAACTTGATTATTTTACAGCTCTTCTGTTTGTCAAACAAAATATTCATCAAGAGATGCGATTGTCAACATTCTCAATCGTAAACTTTCTTCGTTGTAAACCCTATTAATTGTCTGATAATAAACCCTTTGTTGAGTAACCTAGTTAAGTTAAGTAACACTTGTTAACTATCCTTTCCTGATTGTCAAGTATTCATTGTTAAAAGTCCTAAAAGTAAACTATCCTTATTGTGAAATATCCTGATAAACCACCATAATCGCCAAGTATTTTAATGGTCAACAAATTTTCAACTATTCAAATTATTAGTTTTATGTTCACTTTTGGTGCCTGTTAGTTTATGTTATTTTAGAGATAATTGCGGACATTTTCTATCACCATTATTTTAAAACAGATTTTCTCAATATTTCAGGATATAAAAAATGATCCTCTTCTCAGATGAGTACTTGGATTGTCAACTATCCAAATTTAGAGTATCATTATGATCATTTATCGTGAATGGAGAATGTTCTGTTTAAAAACTCCACTGTCACACAACTTAGCTATTAAGCAATTACCAGCCAATCGAATTGTCACATATCCTGATTACCACCCCTCCTTATATGCAGATGGTACCGGTGGATTACTGTTCTAATTTTCCAGATCGACAATTTAAATGACAGTATGATCTAATTGCAGGTGTTCACCAGTATTGCTCTTCTCAACATGTTGATTTCTCCACTCAATGCGTTCCCCTGGGTTCTCAATGGTCTTACTGAAGCTTGGGTTTCACTTAAGAGGATACAAAGGTTGCTTGAGGTAATCACATTCAAGTATTGATCAATTCTTAGGATTGATTGTGCATGGACTCATAAATACAAATTTTGTTCAATCACAAATAAAGCTTGATTCACTTCTAAGTTTTGGGGGACTAAAATATGGGAGTATTTGACATAAGGTTTAGATGATGATTAGATTTTATGTACTTTATTATTTTCAGAAATATTTTGACAATTGCCATGACTGACAACATTCTTTAATTAATTGTTTAGTATGTTGACACAGCCACTGCAATTTTGTACATGGGTTGACTTGGGATAAAGATTGGTTTGATTTGACTTTGAATATTTGAATTTGCTTGTACTTCTTGGTATACAAAACCCTGAATTACACAATTTTGCATGCAAGAAAAAATCAACAAACCGTTTTTTGCTTTGTATTATTCTTAATTGTATGTTAGAGGGCAAATGTGGTGGAAGTGAGTACAAGACAATATGCCTGCCTGTTCATCATATTTCTGATCTGAGGGGTTGCAAAATCGATTCTGTGAATAATTATGATTGTACGCTGTTTTTACTTTTGTTCAAACACATCTACCATGTTTAGCAATGACTAACTGTATGTCAGAAGTCAGAAGCAATAAAATTAGGCTCATAGATCATTACCATCATTACCACAGCTTTTTTAGTGAATCAAAAGTTTTTTAGGATTGTTTTGTAGTTTGTTGTTCACAATGTGTGGTTGTGAAATCATTAATTGTTACTCGTCAGATAGATGACCTGGACATGGGCGAGTACTACAGTCCGCTACCGAGCTTGGAACCAACAGACGGAGCCATTGTGGTCAAAGATGGCAACTTTTGTTGGGGGCCCGGCAAGTTTGAACTTCATAATATAAACTTTATCGCTCCCAAGGTCAGTCCCATAGCTTTGGACCAGATTTTAGTTACACGTGTTTTAGCTTTTGATAGTACATGGATTCAGTTTTTTAAAATACTATCATTGACTTTATACACAGAAATAGACTTCCCATGTGATATGAAAGTTTGAAACCAAGAAAATAGATGAAGTTCAGGACCATCTCACCAGAGTTTACTAGTGTATTGGGTTGAATATTAATTAAAACCAATTCAGTATCATAGCAAACAGCTGATTGATTTATCACTTAACACAGAACATTGTCATTAGTTGGTGACCATCTCAACAGATTGCACCACGTTTTTTTGGCTTCAAATTTTTACATTACATGGGAAGTCTATTTCTGTGTATAAAGTCAATGATACTATGTAGTTGTTAGGGGATTAAAAAATATGCACAGGCTATTTATTTTTAGTTAGCAAAAACCTATGACAAAAAGAGCGTACAAACAAAAAGCACTGAGAATCATATTAGATATTAAATAAAGGGACACCGTCAAGGAGGAATAAAAAAAACCTTGGAAAATGTCTATAACCAGCATGTATATTTATGAAGTAATCATTTATTGCAGGCAAATTTTGAAGATTTAGGCTACATGTTAGGAGAATGCACCTGCCCATAGCTTATATGGAAAAAACACTACTGTTATTACATTGTACACTTTAGAAGAATATTTGTCAAATTAATGTTTATTTTTTATTGAGACTTGATTGAAACGTAAAACTTGATTTAAGACGTAAATCATTTACAAGATTTTTTGAGATTTGTAGACAGTTTAAACTAGTTTTCCTGAAGCGTGGGTGTAAAACATGTCTAAACTAATTAAGGTTATTTAAAGAAAATAAGGTTACAAATTAAGGTTTCATTTGAAATTAAAATCATATATGTTTAATTTTAGTGACACAAATAATTCTTTCAGGGCCAGTTTATTGGAGTGTTTGGAACGGTCGGTTGCGGCAAATCGTCTCTTTTAGCGGCTCTTTTAGCCGAGATGGACAAAACCTCTGGGTTGGTTGGGATACCAAATCTCAAACACGGTGAGTTGATAACCTCAAAGTCAATAAATACCACAAAGAATCTTATTCACTAACAGGAAATATTATTCAGGATTGACCTCTCTCTACTTGTATTAACTGAGTCTGAAATTTCCATGCAGGTTTTGGATTTGTCTCCCAAACCCCTTGGCTGCAACGAGCCTCCATCAGAGATAACATTCTGTTTGGTAAACCGTACGACCAGACTAAATACAGGTAAGTCCATAATGAGTTAGGTGTTGGGATATAAATTCAATTGTTACGTTTATTTTTTTATTATTGAGTAAAAAAATATATATTTAGTTTTATATTTTAATTGCACTCATTATTTTAGACTAAATGAGGAGTTTGGATGGAAAGAATGTCGAGATTAAATTAAGTAAGGTAATTTGTAGAAGTGGTATGCTTGGGTACACTGTGTATATAATGATACACATAAAAAAAACATGTGTTCTTCTTCTGTTAATTTTTTTTAAATTGAAAATGCTAAAAAATGACTAATTTTACCTAATTTATAAAATTAAAATGGCCTCCATTTTGAAATTTTTAATTGGATTAAGATACTTTTTTGTTTTAATGTGGGTCTGTTTTACCTAAACATACATACCAAGTTTCATAATTGGTTGAAAAAATTCAAAGATAAAAATGTTTATGTGAAAAAAAAACAAAAAAGGTAGATATCTGGTAAACGAAGCAATTTTGGAAAAAAAAGTTTATCCTGATTTTCTCTTTATTTTGACTTGACCCATAGAACCATTTCCTGGAGTTTGGCTGTTTACTTACGGAACACCCTGTATTACCAATCCACTAAGATAATTTGGTAAAATTGTAAAAAAAAGTATCGAGAATAGATTTTTAAGCCTCGGTATCGATATTGAGAATTGATGAATTTTTGGTACCGTATCGACACATCACAATTCAAAATTCTATCCCAGAGCCTTTTCTTGAACAAAACTGAATTATAGGTAATAGTTACCACAGTAGCAACATATCAGTGTTGTGTCCAGGGCAGTACTAGAGGCTTGTGCCCTGACTCAGGACCTGATGGTGCTGCCTTCGGGTGACTTGACCACTGTGGCAGAGGGTGGAAGCACACTGAGCGGAGGACAGAGGACTAGAGTGGCGCTGGCTAGAGCTGTCTACCAGGTGAGCAACTACACGGTCTCATGTTAAGTAAACATAGAAGTGACGTAGAATGTTTCACGTTGTTGGAAAAGTATAGAAAGAACTTAGAATGTCTCAAGTTTTTGGGAAAGTATAAGAAGGATGAGAATGTCTCTTGTTGTTGGAAAAGTTTAAATATTGTCCTTTTGGAAAAAAAATTGCTTTATAATACTAGTTTATCTGCTCCTTTTTAATCGCTAGATTATTTGATTTTGCTGCAGGGATTTAATAAAATAATCTAATATGAGGATCTGTTTTAGGCAGTGGTTTTTAGTCATGAAAAGGCTTATGCATTCATTACTGAGTGATGGGTTAGAACTAGCTCAAAGTGGAATTAAAACATGAATGATTCATTTTTGAAAATATCAGGACTATTTTGTCATCACAGCTATACTGACACAATACACCCTACAGCTAGCAGTTCTCAATATTATTGTGGACTGTGGATGTTTCATTGTCAGCCTGATGAGAGCATATCAATGTCATATACTGATCATTTCTAAGCCACTGTTTGAATACATCCAAAGAAAACCAGAGCTAAACCTACAGAGCCACCCAAGCTTGGCAGAGATGGAATCTTTAATGGGTTTACTTGTTTTACAGGAGCGCAATGTATATTTGTTGGACGACGTGTTCTCCGCAGTTGATGCACGAGTCGCCAAACACCTGCTGAGGCATTGTATCAACGGCTTGCTGAGGGACAAGACTAGAGTCGTCTGCACTCATCAGACCCAGTATCTGCTACAGGCAGACACTGTAGTCAGCATAGAGCAGGGCACTGTGCTGCAAGGTATGTTGATGGGTTAGTCCTTAAACACTTGTAGCAACTTTGTCCTGAAACTTGTGACTATTGAAGTAGACATCCCCATCCTAAGTAAACATTCCATTCTGAATCTGTGTGATCACATTTCAAAGTAGATATCCCATTCTGAGTCTTTGTGATCACGTTCCAAAAGTTAGCCTCCCACTGGAAGTTGTAACCTAGGTACAAAGAAATAGGTTTTAAGGATTTTCTTTTGGTATTTTTTAGGGATAGACGAGATTGGATTTTTAGTTCGAGACGAGACGAGACGAGATTTTTTATTTCTCATAAAATTTCGAGACGAGATCGAGACGGGATTTCCCTTCTCATACACAACGGGAAATGCACGTTCAAAATTTTTACCTGATTTTGTAACATTGTTAGATGACTGTTTAAATACAAAAATAATGATAATAGGCAAGAATATTTACAATCTTTTATTAAAAAACATCAGCATAACATTTTTTTATTAATCACGCCTTACTTATTAAAAATGCCTACGATTAGGAAACATAGTGATATCAGTTAGGATAGAGTTCAACTTATCCTAAAATAAAATAAATCATAAAATAAAAGCAATATTAATTTTTATAAAATAGTTACTTGTTTTGACTTTTTATAGTAATAAAACATTCCTCACACTGCTTACACTTAACAAAACTTCTCAAATGTTATTAAAGTAATATTGTTAAAATAATTAAAGTAATATTTACATTAATTAAGAATTAATTAAATAAGAACGCCTTCGCAAAGGAAACGCAACTACAACACGCTCCTGTATTGCGGGTATTGCATTGACTTTCTGCAGGCGTTGGCGTTTTTAATTTTTTTATTTTTTATTCTCGTCTCGATAAAAATCTCGGCCAAAAAGAAATCTCGTCCCGTGTAACGAGATTTAAAATTTCCCGAAAATTTCCCGAAATTTCGAGACTTGACCATCCCTAGTATTTTTTCTTTTAGACTTAACAGAATGAGAATGGGAAAGGGATCATCCTGGAACAAACTCAACAACTTTACATACATTTTTGTCATTGGTAGAATTTTAACCAACATACTTTAAGCTTTGACTGTTGATAGAAGTCGAGATATTCTACCCATGTTAAAGCTGTTGCTAGTTTCAGAATGAAAATTAACCTAGTTGAATTGAACCATCAAAAGAGTCTGCTGATTTCAATTACTGATTTTTTGTGTGGAATACTCAGAAGGTTTATTAACTGTTATTGTCATGATCTTTAAAGCCACAAGGGCAGTCGGCAGGTTACATTCCTCTAGTGTAGATAAGCCAGGTAACCTGAATGCCAACTGGCCTTTAAACACAGCTTTATGTCCCATCAAATATCTTACTGGCCAACATTTCTGATGAGTTGCAGCAGTCCATCTCCAGGTCAACTGAAATTCAACTCAGTTGAATTATTCAACTAGTATTTTTACCAGTTCAACATCCAGGCCATATCCCAAAGATCAAAGATGTACCCTAAAACCTTGATTAAAACATTTATCCCAAATTATTTGTTTATTGAATTGTATTCTAAACGATCCCCTGCAATAGGACAGTAGCTTGAATTTTTAGATATGTTAAACTATTGTCATATTTATTATGTTGCAGGACCACCAGCTGAGGTACTACCAGACTATGAGGAGATGGTGACAAGTCATCAGCTGGAGGGGGAGGGAGAGACTCAGAGAGAGGAGCGTCCCCCCTCCCCCATCCTCTCTACAGAGGGAGAGGTAGACAGTCTACAAGGAGAGGAAGGCAGGGAGACTGGTACCGTAGCATGGAGAGTGTACAACACCTACCTGGCAGCCGTAGGATACTGTCTGACTGCAGCCATACTGATTAGTCTCACACTCATGCAGGTGGGTTATATGCTATTTGCCTATGTCCAATTCTCTCTTATCCAGGTGGGTTGAGGGGAAAGAAAATATGAAAGCAGTTGTTGAAAGCAATTTTCCTCTCGGTTTGATCAGACCCAGAAAGTCTGTGTCACGTGAAAAACATTTTAGAAAATCCTTACATTCAGACAAGTTTTACCACAACTTTAAAACTACGGTTTACTGTTTTGCAACATGTAACAAAAATCTTACGTACACCCCATATTGTCTCCAGTGCCCATGCGGAATTGGCGAACTCCAAACAAGAGAAAACAGACTTGTATGCTGCTGGTCATAAGTTACATTTGAACTTCTTTATTTGAACATGAGAGAATGGGTTTGATAGCACTAACTATTTCAATAAAACAAAAAGCGTCACAAAATCGTATCTCTGCTCCACTCAACGTCCAAACCAAAGACAATCATATTACTCATTTTAGGGACATTAACTGCTATTGTTATTAGTTTAACACTATCTTTCATTATTTTTGTACTTAATTAATACAATACATGTATTTATTTATAAAAGATTTCGTTCCGAAAGTAAACATTTTGCTTAGTCAGAAGTAAAAATTATTTTTAGGTTTCAAGAAACGGCACTGACTGGTGGATGGCCTACTGGGTTACAAGTGAAAACACAACAGCCTTTGCCCTACCTTTTAACTTGGACCTGACAAAAAGTGGTAATTATTCTGAGCTCTGACAGTTTTCTGTATCTTTAAATTAATTGATTATTTTCACACTTTACAATTAACCACATGCACACATACATATCCTCTTCTGTTCTAGTTATTCCTTGGTCTGAGGCTTAATTAGGAATTCTCCATCTTCTCCTATCCCCTTCTCCTACTCTTTTCTCCGTATCTCTTTTCGACTTATCTATCCACCTTCTTCTTGGTCTTTCTCCTTTTTCTCTCATCTTTATCACCATCAACTAACTTTCCTTTTTCTAGGAATTAGAAAAAAAAATTCTCACTCCTTGCATTCATTTTACACCTTAGTCTTAGTCTTGATTTCTCTATTCTCCCTCTTAAGGTATAACCAACAAACCCTCTACTGATCTCTTCATTCCTAACTCTATTTGCAATTTACTAAAATAGTTTTTTACTATTTAGAAAATTTTCAAAACTGTGCCAGTTTTTGTAAGTACTACTATTCTATAATTTCAATTTCCCTTTAAGTCAAGTTGGTTGTACAGTAGACTCCCTCTTATCCGGACACCTTTTAACAGGACGACACTCAGCGGAAATGACATCTCTTTAATCGGTCAATTTTTATCAGCACATCAGTTTAACCGAACTAGATCGACAAGAAGTGGGCGGTACTGAAACCATTGTTCTCGTGCTAAAGATTTGAGACCAGTGATCACATGTCGAAATACAATGCTCTCCTTAATTTAAGTAAAATATGTATACAGTATGCATTTATACGGTCTGTTTTAACGAGTTTTTGGATGCGTCAGTTTAACCGGAAAACCCATTATCCGGACTGACCTTGGTCCCGAGGAGTCCGGATAAGAGGGAGTCTACTGTATACTTTTTTGTGCTGACAACTAACTGCCTGGACCTCTTCTTCTGCAAGTTAGCTGTGTTTGTATTCTTTATTCCTTAATGTAATTTTTACTAAGAACAGTACTAACTTTAAATACACAATACTTTTAGATCTACTTCCGTGGGTTGACCCGTCTACTCGCTACTACCTAACAGTCTACGTGTTGATAGCCGTCTGCAACTCTGTGTTCACTCTTTTCCGAGCGTTCTTGTTTGCCTACGGAGGTATCCATGCTGCATCTGCTGTACATAAAGTGTTGCTCAACAAAGTCATAAGGGTGAGTGATGTATTTAAATTTAAACTATAGTTTATATTTTAAGATAAAGCTAAGTGGTTAGTTAGGTGATTTTAGAAAGTGATCAACTTCATCTACCTCATCTGAAGAGGTAAGAGTCCAGAGATTTGTAAATATCTAAACATGATACAAAGAACACTATGCTTTGTTTTTGTGACCTTTTTGTTTATCTCTAAGCTCCCTGTCCCTGACTAAAATTTTTCAGATAAGCTAAACTCTATCCCTTTAAAAAATCTCTTTAAATTTTAAGTTTTACATATTTTTTCCAGGCCAAAATTGTCAACTTTGACATTCTACCGGTTGGTCAGATCCTCAACCGATTCTCTTCAGATATGTACACGGTGGATGATTCTCTTCCGTTCATTTCAAACATCTTGTTAGCTCAGTTTTTTGGAGTAATAGGTATGTCATTGTTTTATTTTTGTAATAGGTATTTGTTTGTACTTAGTCGCCTGTATTTGTAAATTTTCATAATTTTTTTTTTTTATCAACTGTGTTGACTGTGTTGTTGAACTGTGTTGTTCTGATGTTATAAATCCTATAGATCATAAGGCTGATTTATCGGATAGGCCTACAAGAGTAACATAACCAAACTCCCACTTACTACTATCAGTATCTGAATGCAAGCTTACCTGAGAAAATGAAAGTCCATGGGCCAATGGAAATACAGTAAAATAAAACTGTTCTCCAGTAACATGGACTCTAGTTTTCTCAGGTAAGCTAATACTATCTGTCTGAGTATAACCATTGACTATTGGATATAGAAGAAGACATCCCATCTATCTATATAGATCAGCTGTCGCCAATTTTTTACTAAAAAAGAATGTAGTTGTGTGAGCCAGTCACAGATTGCACTAGTGTCTAAAACTATTAATAGTCAAAGGTATAACTTAAAAAAAACTAAAAAAAATTGAAAACTATTCCTAAAATTATATTTAACCTAGGAGTAAAGTTTAGAATTACTTTGCTTAGGTTTTGAACCAATTTTGTTAATATGTAGTTAACTTTGAGTTAGACAGATGGTTAGGCTCATAGGTGAGTTGCGCCTAAATTTAATAAGTTTACTCCTTTTATCTATCCTTAGTTTTACTTTGTTCACTAAATCATTGTTTAAAAACAAATTGGATCTGTTGTTAACAAGTTGAGGTGAAAACATTATACAAATAACCATAGCTAAGCCATTGAACAGTCTACAGCTGAGTTATCAATTTATTATGCTCTACTGTTAGCAAGGCACAAGAACATCTCTGATTTGCATTTTAGTGAAATCTGCTGGAAGGTCCTTTACTGACTTGCAAACTATACTTGCCTAAATTTTAGAATAATTATAAAAAAAGATAGACAATAATAAATAAATTAAAATTTTTTTATATTTGATGTGTTTTCTCTGCTTTTTAGGCAGCATGTTCGTCATGCTTTACGGTGTGCCAGAATTATTCTTCATCCTAGTGCCACTGGTGCCGATCTATCACTGGCTGCAGCGACACTATCGTCTAACATCTCGCGAGCTCAAGAGACTGAGCTCCACCACACTGTCTCCGTTGTACAACCACTTCAACGAAACACTTCAAGGACTTCTTACCATCCGAGCATTTCGAGCTGTGCCTAGGTAACTTTGAGACTTTTATCGGTTTGAATATTTTTGACTTGCTATTGAGAGTGTGACAGTTGAATGGAATCTGATGGTCTAGGTTCAGGAGGGACAACGGCACAAGACTAGAAGCCAATCAGAAGGCTCAGTTGGCCAGTCAGGCAGCAGCTCAGTGGTTGTCTCTGAGACTACAGCTTATTGGTGTTGCCATGGTGACAGGTGTGGGACTGTTGGCTACACTGCAACACCACCTAAGCATTGCCAACCCTGGTGTGTATATATATGTTGCTTCCTCCGGGAATTTTTGTACAAACTGATTGGCAAGACTCCAAAAAAAAAAATTAATTTGACAAATTTTACAATAGAGTACTGCAGATGTTTTTTTTACTAATTGTTTTTAATAACTGGAAATTGTCCAAAATAATACCTTAATTATTAATGAAAACTTAACATAGTAAAAAATAAACTCAAAACAAAGGAGTGTTAGTTTTATAACTTAAATAAATATTTAAATATAGTACAGCACAGTAAAAAAACCAAATAAACTTCAATTTCTCTAAAATAATTCCAAAAATAACTAAGACCAAAACAAAACATTGGTTCATATTATGTAGGACTTGTGGGGTTGGCTATCTCCTACGCCCTGTCTGTGACTGGAGCTCTCAACGGACTGGTAAACGCCTTCACAGAGACGGAGAGAGAGATGGTGTCAGTAGAGAGGGTGGATCAGTATCTCCGAGAGATCACAACTGAGGACTTCCGGGAGCGACTGGCTCCTCCACCGTTCTGGCTTAGTCAGGGGGTCGTGTCCTTCGATAACGTCACTCTCAAGTACAGGTAGGTGGAGGTGTTTGGTGAAATATATAATAATTTTTCACAGTTCTAGATTGTTTGTCCAAGTGTAGAATGCATGACTAGTTAAACTAATAAAGCAGCTTTTTTATGTTTTACATTACTTCCAGTTGCGACTAATTTTGATTTAGAAAAGTGGTGAATGATTGGATATTATTTTCTTTGGGCAGTAAACACTCCTTATTCAACCTAGAACTTTAGCAGTGATAGATTTATGAAAATTACATAGTATACAAATGCCACGTGAAAAGCAGTTATTGAGAGGGTAACAGAAAATAGAGTATATTAAGTATTCCTAAAAATCAGTTAGCGGCTGGCTAACAATTTTTTAGCCATAGCGAGAAAAACAGGCCATTTTGACAAATAAAACTGACCTCGCGAGTTGCTCGAAAACTCCCCCTAAAGTGGCAGGCTTAGATTAGCCCTTCAAGACAGTAGTAAAGGTTGTCATTGCATCTTACTTAAGCTTGCTAATGTGAGACTTATCCAATGGGAAGGCACATCTTAAACAAACATTGTCCGGTTTGGGTGGAAGTTGGTATCATCAGTGAGTTTAATTACACACTCAACAACATATTTTCTTATTTTATACTAGTATATTGTATTTCAACACGTCCAATATCTTAGATCTTGAGGAAAGATTAAGTAATGTATTCGTTCGTTACAGTAGTCTAACAAAAATCTGTTCTGGGGAGCAAGCTGTAACTATAACTCATGGAAATTGTTGGTACAGTGAATGGTTCCCGGGGTCTCAGGTTCAAATCCCACCAATCATCAATGTATTTTATCAATGTGATGATGCCGCAACCCTCTAGGTCTTGCTTGAAGTTATATGTAAGAATGGTTCTTGACTAGAGTCATAGATAAAACATACTCCCTTAGTAGATTAGTCATCCTAATGGAACAGCTGAAGCCAATTTTATTGTTAGTTCTGTACGTCCAACTATAGAGGTTATGTTTTGTTACAATTTGTTTCTTGTTATTGCAGTCATTTAAAACCTCGTTTAACCTAATAAAACAGTATTCATAAACAATAACTTGTCTCCTAGTTATACAACCAAATAGTAAAGCACAAATCATGAAAATAACCCTAAAATAATATAAACAAAATGTTGTCTACACTAGCGATCAGTGTGGATGTACATGAACTAGACACAAAAAAACAAGCTTCAACATTTACAATGGGATGAGGAGTCTACTTGTGTTGCCTAGTCTATGCTAGAGTCTAGAAAAAAATCAATATAAATCTATTCCAGGGATCACCTACTTCCATCCCTCAAGTCAGTAAGTTTCTGCACTCGCCCGGCAGAGCGCGTTGGTGTGGTTGGTCGCACTGGGGCTGGTAAGAGCAGCTTGTTTGCAGCTCTGTTTAGGTTGGTAGAACTGCACGATGGTGAAATATCAATCGATTCTGTCAACATCGCTCACATAGGATTGATGCAGTTAAGGTACTTGACAAGTGTTTTAGAGTCGATGGCTATTGTTAGAATAAATTAAAAAAATAGAATTGATCATATTTTATTTTTCACCACTAACCCTGATACATTTGACAATTTAATATATTAATATAATATAAATTTATAGATTTTTATTTTAATTTTTTTAATGTTTCAGCTTGGTTTGTTAGCTTAGATGCATTTAAAGATCTCTACCTCATAAGGGTACTTACTTCCTGACTCATGAAAACTAGAAAATACAATTTTGTTATAAGGGATAGGGATGTGTTAGCTTACCTGAAAAAAACCATGACTCCATGTAGGAGTACAATAAATGTTTAAAATGGTAAATGGTGGTTTGTAAAATGGCGATTGCCGTCAAAATGAATAAATGAAATGAAATGATAGTTTAACCCATTACGTACAACTTTTCAGAGAGAAAATGCACATTAGCCATATAAGACCCTAGACTCTTATTTATTCTCTGATAAGCTAGTTTAACTCTGTACCCATTTGCTTGATACTTTTATAAAAAATAGCAGCATTATGATAATATTATTGTTTTAAACAAGAAAACTGTCAGCATTCTTTTGATTTTTGATGTTTATAGTATAGTATATTTACTGTCTAAAATATTGTAACTTAATTTGCAACAACAATTACAATGTATCTTGTTATGTTTTCCTTGTGACAGATCCCGAATGTCCGTTATCCCACAGGAGCCTACGCTCTTCCCTGGTACAGTCCGGGATAACATAGATCCTCTCCGGCAATACAGGTGAACATTATTTATGCTCCAGTTTTATTTTAGTGTACTTCTTGTAATAACTGTTATAACAAATATGTTGGAGACAAGCAATGGTTGGCTACAGTAAATACATTGAAAGCTGTGGGTGTCGCAGGACTGTGTACAAGTCTACAACACCTGTTTTGTATTTTAAAACAGATGCAGACGTACCTTTTTGTACCTATTTGACCTTTGTGTCACATTTCTTGTCATATTATGAGCCCTTTGTGAAGTTCAGCATTTTTGACTGGATATGATGGCATAAAAATTTACCTACATACTGTACATTCTGTTTAAGTTATTCAATGGTGTACCAGGCCCTCTTCTGTCCCTTTATGTTTCACCTTCCTACTTCATCTGTCGCATCTTTACTCTCCTCTTCACATTAATTTCCCCTTTCTCCATCCACCTTCTTCAATGTCCTCACCTCCCTCCAGTTTCAGTTTCACCCAAAACTGTCCTTGACTCTCTTCTCATACCTCCATTCTTTAGCCTCTCAGACCAAATTTGCACCAAGTACTCTTGTCCAACTAATGAACAATCCTTAAAACTGTTATTCCTCCAATTTGTACTCTCCCCCATTCACTGCCATGATTATTCGATACTTTCACTCAATAAGAAACTATTGTTTTATATGTCCTATAAACAACAGTTACAATTTTTGCCTTAATTTTTTATTTAATTTTATCCCATAGCATAGCAAGTTCTTCATTTATGGAAGAACTTTATAAAGCCATAGTCTGTTTACTGATTGATAACACATGTTTGTGTGACAGTGACAGCAACATCTGGTCGGCTATACAGCGCTGCCACCTGGTGGGAGTGATTAGAGACTTGGACACTACGGTGGAGCTGAGCACAGGACAAGCACAGCTGTTATGTCTGTGTCGAGCTGTGCTGCATAATGCTAAGGTACGGCAACTCTCCTACTGCTTATCACTACAAGATTAATTAATTGTGATAATATCAGCAATGTCTGGCTTATCAGCCCAAGATGGAATTACTTAAAATTCACTTCTGTGTTTGGGATTTGCATCAGCACAATCAGTTATACCTGATGTTTTCAGAGATGAGGTCACATGTAAAACTGGTGTTTGTAGGAATACAATAATGCTGGGCATATCCAACCAAATCGGGGATCTGAGCCTCCTCTATAATATGTTTGGGATTAAAAAATGTTTGTTGTTTTGAATCTACTAATAAAAACTAGGCGCAAAATGAATTGAGGGAAAATTATTTACACTTTTTAATAGTTATAAGAGAGCAAAAATATCTGTTCTCCATCAAAACGATTATTTAAAAAACATAAAAAAATAAATCATTTATAGGAGCTAAAGTAAGTATTTTCATTGCAAGGGTCCTAAATAATCAGCTGGAGTCTTGGACATCATCTGTATGTTTTTCTGTCTTCATAATTTGTCTGCCAAAGAAAATAGTTCCGATTCGTACAACTATTAATTATCGTATTGTAATTAGGCCTACTTGTTTTGTGTTTATCATTGTTCCAAACTCAGTACTTGGATATTGTATTTCATTTGACTAACTCTATCATCATTAAGATCAAGATGTAAAAATATTTCTGTAATTTCTTTAGTACAAAAATGGAACGCTATTAAACATTTTGTAAGTAATAAATGTATATTCTACAAACATCTTCTTATTTAATAAAACAGTATACTTGATCAAGCCTGTAAAACTTCATTGTTATGGTGTTTTGCTCAGATCCTGTGTGTGGATGAAGCGACTGCCAATGTCGATGAAGAAACAGACAAACTGATAACACAGACTTTACGCAGCAACTTCCGCCAGAGCACAGTGATCACCATTGCTCACCGTGTCCGCACCATCATTGACTCTGATAGGTAACAGAACCGTCTTACAAAACACTTCTTGGGTCCAGAAGAGAGATAAATACTAAATGTAGCCTATATGCAGAGTGTTTAACGGGCACTTATAGTCATGCATGAAAACCTTTAACAAATATAAAACTTCCTTTAGTCCCAAATAACTTTAAATAACAACAATTTCCATATAGTTTCTAAAATCTATTTCATTAAAAAAAAACTTTTACCTACGACCGTTTTTTAAAGTAGCCATTTCAGTCCAGTTCTTAGAATAGAAAAGTTTCACTTTACAGCTGTTTACTTTCATATCAGCATAGTTTCATTTCATATCAGCATAGTTTTTCTCATATCAACACAGGTAACGGACCAATGAGGTTCAAGTATTGAGAGAAAAGAATTAAAATTGTAATGCTTCGAACATCAACTAATCAGCTGATCAGTTGACCAATTTAATTGTTGATCCGACTTGTTCATGTTGACGGCACAGTCTATGTTCACTCGCCAAGGAGCCTTGGCGAGTGCCTTAAAAACTTCTAGGAGTGTCGTAAAGACTATTAACGCGAGTTGCGTACACTACTTTACCTACGACCGTTTTTTAATTACTATCAATCTGGATTTAATTACTAACAATCACTACTGGATAACTTTTTAGAGAGGTTATGTTTTCGTGTATTGTCATTGCCACTGAAAGTGATGCAACGACTTGTTGTATAATCAGCTGATTTCCTGTAATTACGTGTTTGTTAAACTTCGTTAAATATTACATTGCTAGCAGCATTCTTACCATAAATAATATTGTATCAGGTACAATACGGCAAATATTTCATTTATTTTTGGACTTCCACCAGACCACCAACTTAATTAAGAATACGCGAGTATCAAGATTCAAGATTCAAGATTCAAGATCTTTAAGATTCAAGATTCAAGATTCAAGATCTTTATTTGTCATTAAGCAATACAAGTATTACAATAGACATCGTCAAAGTTGTTTTTTTTTTTCTAATAATACATACAGTTAATTTCCTGTTAGAGTAGGCCTAACAGCAAGAATGCACCAAGTGAGTAGCAATCACTCTTTAAAATATAACAGTTAAACATAATTAACTCTAAAATAAATAAATTAACAATTTACATGTCAATGATCAAAAATAAAATCTGTAAATATAATAACAATAAAATATTTAAATATAATAACAATTAAATATATTAATACTAACATTGATGTTCTAAAAACATAGGGAACTAATATCACAGGCCAGATAATCGTCTATGGAATAAAAAACATTTTCCTTAAGCCATTGTTTTATAATAGAAACAAATTGTTTAAAGGGTACAATCCATGCCATTTTTGGCAATTTATTGAAAAGTTGTATCTTCATACACATGTGGCTGCTCTTTGTTTTTTCCAATCTTACAAAAGCTAAATCTAATTGATAGTTATTCCTAGTATAGTACTGATGAGTTTCGTTTCTAGTTGTAAAATTTTTCAAAGACTCCTTAACATCTATTAGACAACAGTAAATATACAGATTAGGCAAAGTCATTATTTGTAATTCTTTGAATATTGGTTTACAAGACTGTCTTTGTGGTATATTCTTGATTGCTCTCAGTGCCTTTTTTTGCCATCCAAGAGCAGACTGTGCACTGCAAGAGTTGCCCCATAAGGTTATACCATATCGTAGATGGGAATGAAAAAAAGCATAGTATGCAGTAATCAGCATATCTGCAGTAACACAGTGTCTTAGTTTTCTGAGAAGACAAACCACCCTGGCCAGTTTCTTACACAATTGCTCTAAGTGACTATCCCAACTTAATCTGCTGTCTAAATATATGCCTAGCAATTTCACAGATTTAATATCCTTATAAATAGAGTAGTTAAGAGTAAAAATTATATTTTCAGTTTTCTGGTTATTTACAATTAAATGATTGGATTGGAACCATTCTTGTGCAACTAGTAAAGCCTGACTCTCAATTTTTTTAAGTTCCTTTAAATCTTTATGGCTGTTTAGGAGTGTTGTATCATCTGCATAAAGAACAGAGGTACAAGGAATATTGAAAGAGAAATCATTAACTGCAATGATAAATAGTAGTGGCCCAAGCACTGACCCCTGGGGTACACCATTTTCAATTTTCTTAAAGCTAGATTTGTCTTTGCCCTGGATTACCATTTGCTCTCTGTCACTTAAATAAGAAGCTAACAAATTCAACTCTTGGTCCCTTATACCATAGCTGTACAGTTTCTTAATAAGAAGCTCATGTTGCATACAGTCAAAAGCTTTTGTTAAATCAATTAGTAATGCAGACGAAAGAAGTTTATTTTCAAAGTTCATTAGAAGTTTACTGACAATACTTTCTACTGCTTTGCATGTACTTCTACCTTGCATAAAACCAAACTGTTCATCACAAAATAGATCATTATTGATAAAATATGTATTGAGCTGTGCTTTAATGCAGGTTTCAAAGATCTTACTTAGTATGGGTACAAGAGAGATTGGCCGGTAACTGGATGGGTTTTGTTTCTCACCTTTTTTATAAATTGGCATTACCTTACAAAGTTTAAGTTTTTTAGGGTATATACCCTGATCCATCATTTTATTGAAGAGAAATTTTCCTCCACATGATGGGTAACATACAATTAAAAGAAAGAGAGGGTGATTCTAGATTTTCCATGAGTACTTGAAGGTTGGTCCAATAGAAAACTCCAAGCATAATTTCCTCCCAATACTACTGTGGTCTGAGCAAAAGATAATTTCGCTTATAAATAGGTATGATAACATTCAATGATAGAACTAGCAGTAGTTTTGAAGTTGCTGAGTTTAATATCACTAGAACTGAAGTTCATTAATAATTTGGACAACTATTTTTTAAATATTTAGTACCTACTAGTCTGAAAATCTGCTTTATCTAAACAAGATTACGGGAATATGTTTTATTAAACTTTCTAAGTTAAAGGACTTTCCGCTCCAACTTGCGTACTGTCTGTCATATCTATTTTACACAGTGTATTTTAAATTCACTACTACTACTAAGATAACTAATCTGTTACCTTTAATTCTTCCACATTAGGTGCTTAATAGACCTCATAGTCAGTATGTTGCTTGGTATGACAAAACTCTGTATAATCCGAAAAGGGTTTAGCACAGAGAAGTAAGATAAAGAGGATACAAGCTTTATGGGATAACAATGCGCTTTTAACTTGTAACGAGCAAGGAAGAGCCTAAACTGCGATGGCCACATAGCATTGTTGTACATCAGTTGTAGCGCACAGGGTCTTCCTACAGCAAGAGAGCGCTGTAGTACCTGATGGCGAGGAAGAAAGGAGAGTGAAAGGGGACGACAAATAGAATTTTCTCTAGACACCAGCGACTGGTGCTAGACACCACTTGACAAAAGATGAAAAGAAATAACAACATTTTCTATTTCCAGGGTGCTTGTGATGGGGGAAGGTACTGTGCTGGAGTTTGACACTCCCGAACAGCTGTTTCAAGACAGAACTTCTCACTTGTATCAGCTGTTACATCAGGACTACGACTCGTAACACATTGTGATCCTAGGCAATTTACTATTTCAACTTATTGTATATTATTATTATTTGATTATTTATTTATAGACTTGTTTTTAACCCTTTGACACAGACTGGTATGAAGGAAGTATACTTGTTCTAAGACTGTAATTTAAAATTGACATTTTACAAAGCAAATACTATTTTTAAAATGTTTTGATTTGATATTTTAGTAGGGGGTGAGCCCACTAGAGGTCTTGTAGTACTTTGCCCTCTTCAGCGTAGGTTGTCTTGTTTGGGTGATTAGCTGTACAAGATGTAGTCTTTAGCGCAGCCGCAGCTCAAGTAAATTTAACATTTGTAGGTATAGCTCTTATTATGGTGCCAAAGTGACACACAGATAAAGGGGACGATGTGAGCATCAGATACAGCTCTTGAAATTGAAACAATCCCATCTTGCTTGTGTGAATTAGCCTGTACAACTGGCCCACCGAGTGCAAATGGTTAAAATCAAACTATGAGCAAGGTAAAGAAATTGTTCACTCACCACACTTGAGGTTTTTTTTTGTTTTTTTTTTTAAAGAAATCTCAAGTTTTGCACTTGCAAACTTACAACTTTATATAGCTTGGAGTTTTTTTATTTTTATTTATTGATTTTGATGTTCAATACGGTTCCAAACTTTTCATACGTATTGCCATGAAACTGTAAAGATTTAAGTTAAAATATTTCTTGACAACTCTTCTTCTTTGTATGTTTTTTTTTGTCACGGAAATTGATCTGTGGTCATTTATATGTGGTGGTATTAAAGACTACAAAAAAACTTCTCTTCACACAAATTATTTGAAAAAGTTGTATGTTATGACTGAAGTAAGACTAACTCGTTTCCTTTTCTCAATCAGTAAAAGACCAAAATTTATGCCACAGAAAGCAGAAACACCTCTACGCTTAAAAGTGCTGAGCAATTTGGAAGAGGGGTAAATATTACACTCGACTCGAGTGATTTAAAGTTAAATTAACTAAATTATCTTCTAACAAAATGAACTCTAAATCCATTCTAACAGAAGATTGGCCTTTATATACCACCCTTTTAACGTGCAATTTGAGAAAACTGTGTCAAAGGGTTGAACTTTAAAATGTACATTGTGTTGTTATCATGTGATGTGGGACAAGTGAGGAACTTTGATAGCATAAACTGTAATCAAAGAAAACAATTGTTCAACTAGCTGGAAGCATGAAGTTGTACGATTTTGATCCAGTTTTCTTTTTAATGACCAGTATTACATTCATAGAAATACAAGATCTTGTTAAATCCAAATGTTTTATACTGAAATTACATGTAAAGGCATTTATATTTAAAAATGGAAGGCTCATGACTATATTATTATATTTTATTCACACTGAGATTAAATTTACATTAAACGATTGTTAAGGTTATTAAACCAGTTATGAATCTTAAACTGTCAGTTTTAAAGTTTACTGTCTAAACTTAATAGGGGGTTTCAAAGTGTTTGTGATACCAAGGTTTTATTGATATGCTATAGCTTTAGCTTTATTTATTTTTTATTTAACACATTTTATTAATCGGTGAAACTAATTTATTTAGTTACTGAACTAGGCAGTTTTATGTGGGATTTCAGTGTCTGTGATGTGTACATAGATAGATTATAAGATAATGCCATTCTCATGTAATTTACTGTTTCCAATACTGTTTGTAACAGCAACAATATCTTTGTCTTAAAATACATTTTATTCTCAAATTTAAAACGTTGATCCTGCCTTTTAACACGTTCACTACCGCAATAGTCCTAAATTTGTCATTTATATGAACCAGCGACGCAAATATGCAACGGCCGGTTTATACCTGTAGACATTAAAATAGACTGAGGTTGCAGATTTGTGTCAGTATCCCAAAGTTATTAAAAAGCTTGTGTCTTCGTAGCGGTTGATTTAAAGGCCCTGAATTCTCTGCAGTGTTCTACAGGGATGTCTATCGCATACGTGCGTTACTTGGTCTGTGGATATGATGATTGGCAAAACTGCGTTTTACTTTGCTGCATCACTGGCCCGTGGTCTGCGTGAACTGTCAACCAAGTGACGCCCGGTCTTTGTGTAATATATTAAAATGTATACCTAAGTCCGTGGCAATGACCGCAGCGTTGCATATTTGTGGCGATCGGTAGCGAACATGTTAGTAATTTGTTATGCATATTCCTGATTGAGTAATTTGATAAGCCTCCTTACTTTCATAGCATTTAAAACAATCAAAATATATTCTCTTGTTCTTCTTGAAAAGTGCCATTTTTACTTTTCAGTGCTGTTAGGTTCAAAATATTACACATTAGTGCGGTCACAAAGAAAATGTAGTATTCTAGTTTTATGTCAAATCTAGATCTTTTACAGCCTTGTAGGATGTTATTATCATAAAAAACTGTTAACCTCTTTGACTATTGATTAAACTCCCAATAGTCAATGATTAATTTTTAGGAGGCATTTTTGTCTTGGAATTGCACATTAATAACGTTAACATATTTTGAATCTGAGTAACATTTGGAAGGAAAAAAATGGCTCATAGAATGTTTGGACTAACAGCAGCCATTTCCATGTTGATAAGCTTTAAAAATACACAGAATTACTTACCTTTACTTCTTTGTCCAATGTTTGGGTGTTAGAATATTTCTGCAAAAATAACTTTTACATACACCCTAGCAATATATTTTTACATATTTATGTCCACTGTTTTACCTTTCCAAGCTGTGTCAGTGTAAACTCACTGATGTTTTGGATTCCCAAAACTAAGACAAGTCAATATTAGATACAAAATACTTTGATACATACGTGCTTAGTCATAGGTTTTATATGCCAAAAATGTAATGTTTATCAAATATATAATTTTGTTATAATATTTCGTATTTTTATTTTTCCTGAAACCTGAAATATCTTTTTAATACTCTGCCTTTAAATATGATTTAATCAGAGAAAGAGTAACTTGTACTATATAAAAAAAACCAAGTGTTGGTTATCACATGGCTTTTAGTGGAGATGAGAGTTCTCGACTTCGAGACCCATCCTTTATTGTTATTTGAATAAGTGGACCTGCATTGAAGATGGGTATTGAACCACTATCCAGTATCTTGTAGCTAAATAAATGGCTTTTGGGATTGGAGAGGTTCGAACTTAAGAGCATGGGAAAAATTGAAACACACAATGTATGTAAAATCTAGGTGTATGACTGCATCATTTAAAGAGTAAATTAGAGGCCGACGTTTCGGATGCGTAGCAGCTATCCATCTTCTGGGCAAACTACTATTCAACTCCAAGTTGCGCCGAGTGCAATGTTCTCGTGTCCCCAATCAGCCTTAAGAGCTAAATATTGGAATTTCAAAATAATTTACATAAAAGACTAACAGAAGACTTTATTTTAATGGTAGTCAATAACGAATATCATCTCAATATGAGGCGGTTTTACAGAACAGACACTAAATATTAGACCGAACTTTTGGATGGTGGTGCTCAAACTTCAACTTTGTATCCAATGATGTTCCTCTTGCCAATGCACTCTCCAACCCAAAACCAGCAGGTGACTTCAGTAAAGACCAGAACGTTCAACCAGGCTTCCTAAAACATAGGGATCATTTCAGTAAATACATTAAATTAAACCTTGAAAATACATAAAGATATTTTTAAATTGTAAGTTTAATACTACAGTCCGTGCAAATAGGTCAGGTGTTGGGTAAATAGTTTTTAAATTAATTACGTTAAGTTTAAGTATCACAAAAAGATGCAGGGTCGTGAGAGGTAAAAAAAAATTGGCAGTACCGTATAATCAACAAAATAAAAAATTAAAAAGTCTGGGCAGTGCTAAAAATTATTTAAATTATGGGACCAGAGGAAGTGAAGCATCCCTGTATTTCATTCGTCGATTTGAATTGATCAATTTGACTGGTAATTAGGTAAAATGGGCCTGCCTCAGGATTTGGATTGCTGATAACACGCTGATTCACAAACTATTTCTATACATTGAAAAAGTTCCAACCTATTAGATTATGATGATATCCAATAGAAAATGTTAAAACAAGTGGTAGTAATGTTTATACAAGATAGTAGGACCTATAAAGATAGTTACCATGTAAATTTGTTTTGAGTGACCATGATGCGGTACACCACCGACTTTGGGATACTGAAGTAGACACATAATATAATATACATGTGTACAGTAGCATACAGTACAATTGTTAAATAATGTAGGCCTAGTTGAGGGAGCCTAAAATTTTACTTTCTTAGTTTATTGTTGGGACAAACTATACAACAAAGTTGTCATTTGGGTTTGGCTTGGTAAAAAAAAAACTGTGTATTCAACAGAAAACTGTAATTTACTATAACAGTTTTATTCCAGTTAAAAGGTCATACTAACCTTGACAGTGAGGTGCTTCCACTTGCCACTCTTAGCCGCACTCATGAGTTCGCCAATTCCTCGGCTGATGGCAGGGATGTCACCAGGGCTGGGTGGGGTCAACTCTACCTTGGCGAACTTGAGGAATGTGGCGAAGTTGGGCTTGAATGACGCCACTGCTCCTGTTAAAAAAATAAAATATTAGCTAACTTAAAGAATAAAACATGCACTTGATTCTTTATGCACAAAACCCAACTGTTTAGCCAATCGTAATCCAAAAAATATGGCTGAAAGCTATGTCTGACATCGCTGCAACCTGCGAGACAAACTTAATTTACTTACTAAGTTCCCCCACTCCAGTGCCTTTGGCCTACACACTCAGCGCTGTCATCTCATTCTCCCTCCACGTGCACTGTTATCAGTGTCTAACCTCTTCAGTTTAATAAATGACTAGTGAATAAACGTCGTGGAAGTGATGCAGGGAAAGGAAATAAGGGAGAAGATTCAGTGAAAGGAAGCCAGTCTAGTGCAGATAAATGTAGTGGTGAAAAATATAACAAGAAATGGAAAAACATGAGGGTTGTGTTAAAGAGTCCCAGCCTAGAGCAATGGTTGTCGGAGACTAAAGTTGTGGAAATGATATTACTGGGAAAGAAAACAAACAAGTTGATAATGCAAAAGAATACAGTGGTGACTGTATGTAAAAGTGCAATTTATTTCAATACCCAGCGATAACTCTTGGTCACCAGTGGTGAGTCGTCTGGTCACAGGGAAGAGTTTCCGGTCAGTCACCAAATGCTGGTGACATTTCCTGTTGACCCTAACGTAATAAGCGCCATAAGAACTTGTGCCCACCTTGCTAGTCAGGTCACTGGTGACGTCACCGGTGACCAAGTGTAATAGGGCCCTTGGAGCCTGATTTTTTAGGTGTACCAGTAGGCCTAATATTTAACTTAACCCCTGGGATCTACCAGGTTAACCTTTTAACTCAAGAATTTTCATGTTGATTGTTTGTTTTAAGGTTTTATGACTGGGATCGTAGCGTCGTCCTGTAATCCAGCTACTTGGAGGTCACGAATTGTGGATATTTATAGGCATGATCTGTGTATTAACGTCGAGTACTAGGCCTACGTCTATCCGCGGTAT